TTTAAAGCATAAAAACGGCCAATGTAAAATAAAAAAAAAACGAAAGAAAAACCATATAGCTACGAATGTGAGTCAAAAATAGAGCACTTGCAAAGTGGGTTTATTGTTCAGATGACACAATTTCAAACAATTTATTTTTTTCCGACAAAAGCTAGTGGAGTGAAAGCCAGTCCTCGCACAACAGCGAGGACAATAAAGAAGGAAAGCTTCGTTTCTGGTCAAATAATGCCATATAATACACTTTTTATTAACTTCACTTGTTCAGTCATTACTGAGAAATCTCGGAGCTCTATTTTAGTACAACCTTGCCCAAAGGGCTCGGTCTGCACAAAAAATTCGGTCCTATATTTCTCCGTAAAGACACCGACCTTCGTTAATAAGGGCTTATACATTTTGTTCAAGATTTTGTTCATTTTTCTAGGAAGTAGAAAAAACGCATTTCCAGTGTTTTGTGACATGAAATCAGGAGGTAAGCAATTTCAAACTGAAACTTTAATGCAACCTTCATAATGAAAGGTCTGTCATCACCAAAACTCTTGCGAGCTTAATTTACTTGAGCTTATTATGAAAAAAAAAATAAGGAAAATAACAATGATATGTACGTGCGCAATGTGTTTTTCCTTCACTTGAAAATATTTGATGAATTTAGCTCTAACATGCGTTAAGATATAAACATGCGTCGCTAAGAGAAGAAATAGCTGGCTTATGTAGAAAGTCCCAATGTCGTTTCGTTTGGTCAGAGTATGATGAATATATAGTAGGGCCAACTCTATTGAATTTTTTCGTGCACGCACATCTTATTACACAGGTCATTATCATATTGCCAGCCATTCAATTACTTTTTTTGACCAATGGGAATGATGAAATTGTTGACGGCAGCCAGTAATCGAATTAAATATACAGCAGCCTGTTGAACACAAAGTTTACCTACTGTATTATTTATATTCCTTATGCTGTGGTTTAATTGGTTGATTTAATTCACTTCACTTCCACAATTATAAACTCTCTTGACGCAGTCAAACTTTATCAACAGTTTGATCAACTTGGACAAGCAAATGATATTTAGAATAATAATATCAATATAAATAATATCATTAACTGCCAAATGCGAGAAGGAATCTTTGTAAGCCGCTTGGTCAATAGAAATTTGAGTTGAACGTAAACAGGAATGTAACGCAACCAATAAGACCACCCATCAATTACCCATTGGTGGCTCCCAGTGTTTCTCTAAAAAATAGGCTGAATGATGGTAGATTTTCATATTTCCTATACTTACGACATGTGGGGACATAAAGTAATTTTACGTATATTTTTAAGTAGCCAATTTTAAATGTTTAGTAGACTATAAATTTAGCAAAAATCTCATATATTTATGCTAGAATGGGGAAGGTAGCTGCGTCCTAAGAAAGTTTGAAGATTGAAAAGTTCGGTGAATTTTAAACGTTAGTCGGGCAAAAATATGGCTGAACCTTGATTGTGAGTTGGAGAAAATATTTACTCATAATGATAGGGATAGCTGTCGTGCGCCTATAGGTGTGATCAAGTGCAGACGTGTAGTGGTCTGAAATGTAAGTTCTGATTGCTTGATCTGAGCTCCAAGGCACTCAAACCTGAAATCGAAGGCATCCAGCCTGGCTTAACAGCGTCTGCGACTAACTTTTCACTCACGCGAGTATGACATCATATTGTGACGTCGGTTATTAACACAATTATACTTAATATACTAAACGGTTTTCGTCAAAATTCCGTTGCCATGGCATCTTTTATAAAGTTAGCAATTGCCCTTCAGATTTCACATGTTTTTGATAGGTTGTAAAACGGAGCTAGGATTGAGAAATGGTTTGATTGGAGACTCTCAAATTACGGCATCCTCCTCATGGGATTCCAATCATGGTCCAGGAAACGCCAGATTATTTCGCCCAAAGAATTCACCAAATACAGGAGCCTGGTCTACTCGAACAAACAATATCAATGAATGGCTTCAAGTTAATTTCTTAAAAACGACAAAAATAACCGGTATCAGTACTCAAGGAAGACCTGCAGTTAGTGAGTGGGTTACATCGTTCTCCTTGTCCTACAGTGACCTTGGAACCACATTTACACCATACACAGTAAATGGTAACACTCAGGTAGGTAACAAAATACAAGAGCAAAATATTAAAACACGAATCTCACATTATATCACCTAACCAAGCTCTTAGTTCTTCTTTGCCTATTTCAATATGTGGCAATTATCAGACTAAAAAATGAGGTAACTTATTTTTACAAATCAAACTCGTCTATTGGTTATCAATAATTGCGAAGGAGCTTTCTCTTCCAAAAAGTCTTTTCAAAAGCTCTCCGTTTCTTCAAAAAACGAAAATTCAAAAAATTCCACTGTTAAAAGTGGTAATAATAGCTTTATAATTTTCTTATCATAAAGATAGTGCGAGGTGAACTGGAACTGAAAGTAAATTTCAGTAAAGACAAACATTGGATTGCCTCCATGTTTCGGAATATATGTAAAATACTAAAGCTCTCGTTCATCACTAGTTCCCTGATAATATTCAAAAAATAAAAGTGGAAAATTATTCGGATACTTTACACAACTATATACATTTTATTTTTCAGGTGTTTCAGGCTAACACAAACAGCGATTCGGTTGTTCACAATAAAATATCACCTCCAATTGTTGCCAGTTTCATAAGAATTAAGCCGGTGTCTTGGAATACTCATATTTCTCTTCGTGCTGAATTTTATGGATGTTGATGATTGGAACGTAACGGCTTCCTTTGTTTAAGTGTAACTTACTGTGAAGTATTTTATTGACTTACTGATCAATAAAAAGTTGAAAGCATTATTTTACTGCTACTATGCTGATGCCAGATTTGTTTTGCCACTCTTCCTTGGATTCTACTTGAGTTGAAATAAATTGCTTGTTCTTATAATTTCACCTTATCTTCTGTTTCTTTCTCGTATTGGCGTTAGTGTCGAATAAAGCTACAAAGATCAGGTTTGAAACACAAAACACTCATGAAGAGCCCGAATTTTCTCTTAAATCTTTGGTTCAAGCATCATTATTAATGTTGCCCAAAGCGAGGCCTAAAGACTGGTTTCCATCGTTCACTTTATCTTTTCCTTCGTGCCACGTCGGATTTTCATTAAACTCAGTTTCTATACAGTATGAAAACAAATGGTAGAAACGTCCATTTTTGTGGGTAGCTATGCACATACCCAGCTAACCACTATCTGAGAACCATGAAGTGTTTGTGAATTTCATGTCCAGAGCACTGTCTAAAGTCTACGTTATATTATTGCGAAATTGTTCAAACTATTACGAAATAGTTCATAACGACAAATCGAGTTCTCAGGTGCTTACTGACACTGTAGTCACCGTTCAGTAATAAAAGGGGCAGCGGAACGATAATTGGGGGGGTGCATTTATACATTCGTATGTTATAATCCGTAAACACAATTGATTTCAATATAGAAATTAAAAGAAAAATGCATATATGAATAACCCCTCCTTCCTCCCAATTATCAATGTTCCGTGGCCCTTGTGTCAAAAAGAATGATTTCGTTCATGCGATGTTGATACATTGCTAAAGTAATGATCTGACGTCAATGTTAATAAAAAAACGCGACAGCTGTATCTTCGTAAACTATGAAAAAATTTTATTCAGTGTTTTAGTATACTCTATTCATTATTATACTGTATTATTTCCTATTCATTTGCTAGGAAAGTTATCCGATGGTCGTAAATTAAAACTACAGTGTTTACTACTCGGTTTACTAATCATAAACACAAGTCTTATGCTACGGAGTTCATACACTACGGCTTCAAGACATTGTTAATTGCCATGAATGAATTTCATTTATATTCTTATTAAACCACAATTATACAAATTTACAAAAAGCTACTTTGACTAATCCAAACAACCGTTTTTTTCGTCAATTCAACCGTTCTATTTTTAGTTTTGCCTACAGTTCTTTTAAATAGTTAGAAACGCTAAAATGCTGAGATCTTATTAATTCTTGTTGGTTTACAATTTACATGAAAATATTTCATGGATAGCAATGCTAAGTTTGTAGTACAGAGCTCTCGTGTGTAATATAAAAGACTTCAGAATTCACTTTGTCAACTTTCGACATATTTGTCATGGTGACGAACCGTTTATTGGTGCGTGATATTCATTACAATATCCCAATTAATCACTGGAGTGATACACATTTACTCCAGGCACGTAGCCAGAACGATAATTGGGGGGAGGGGGCATTTTCAAATACTCATTTTATAATACGTAAAAAACAATGGATTTTAGAAGAAACTAATACGACAAATACGGCATGTCATACATACATAGAAGGTTGCTCCAATGTTTTGCTTAGTTTGATTCTGTATTTGAGCGTCGACTGCACAGTAGACTAGCAGAATCTGATATAGTTAGTGACTGAAGATTTACTGAAGTCTCCCAAAAAATTCAAAATGATCTTAATTCAATTATTGAAGATGAAATCAGAAAGGAAATAAATGATTGCACATTTATGAGTGTTCAGGTTGATGAAGCATCTGATGTGTCCACCAAAGAGCAGCTAAGTGTTATTACTTGGTTTGACAAAGCATGTGAAATTATTGAGAGGCAATTAGGATTAGTGGATGTATAAGTATGAACAGAAATGCCACAGCAATATCACAAGTTGTCAAAGATAAACTTCGTGAGAATTCTGATATAAAAGAAAAACTGGTTTTGCAAACATATGATGGTGCTTCTGTTATGTCTGGCCATATCAATGGTGTTCAAACATTGCATTGACAAGAGTATCCTTTGCCCATTTTATTCATTGTGTAGCTCATAGATTGAACCTGGTCCTATGTCAGTCAGCCTCGTCAACCCCCGCCCCGCTTTCTTATGGAAGCCCGCTTGGCTTTGGCAATATGAAGACTGCTTAAGAACAAATTATTGCAAAATGAAGGGATAACTGTTGTACATGGATAAGTCTTGAGCATAGATAACAAAAAATTACGGATAAAATTGGATCAAATTTATAAAATTATAAACGTACATTTAGAAATGATCGAAAGTATGAAGTACTGGGTCACTCCTAAGAAAATTAATTCGAAAGAAAGTCGACTACTCGACTTGCTTGGTCAAAAGGACTATTTTATAAATCTCCTGTTATGTATACAATAACATTTGAATGAAAAATATAAAATTTGACAAACACCATATAAATGTCGTGGCTAATGTCTTTATACGTATTACTGAACTTTACATATGATAAAACAAGTCTATTTCTGCCGTCCCGTAAGCAAAGGAGCTTTCTTGAGCAATTCTAATCTTTATCCTTTCTCGAATAAGCAAACAAAGCATCGTTCAAATATAAAGAGAAAAACGCTTTTCCAGTTTATCGTAAACGAACCTGGTGTCAATAGGGTATGAGACTTCACGATCGCCATTTCGATAACTAAAAAAGTTGACGAAGCAAGTATCATTCAAAATGGCTGTTGATGTGAGCATTGCGTTTTTTTATGTCAAATTCCCTATCAAAAGTCATGTTGCAAATTGGGCAAACTTCGTCCAGTTGTAGTTGTGATTGTTTTTCCATACGAGTATCGCCGGGTAAATGTCGGTTATCTGTTGAGTTCGAATTGCGTTTCTTTGAACGTGCCTTTTGACTAGTTTTTCCACTTCTCTCAGGTAATTTTGTGAGGTCGGACCTCGGTAAAATGTCTTTCTGTTTTACATTCTGCAATGAGGATGACGATCTCGTGCAACTATTAGTCATCTCATCATCAACTGTATTTAAACTTGTGTGATCAAAACCATTCACCAAATTTATGGTAAAACCTCTATCTAAACATAACGTTTCGTCTTCTTTCCCTTTTCTGGTTTTGACATATTTGCGCTGGTCTATCTTTGATTGAGTTTTTCGTTCTTTCATTGCGTCCATAAGAACTTCAATGCAAGTGTTTTGCTCGTTAATGGTGTTCTTTAGATTGGCTACAAACTCCGTCTGTTCTTTTAAGGTTGTTGTAATTCTTTTGAGAACCCACCATTCTACTAGGACGCAATTCATTTTACCTTCTCCTACATAAATGTGAAAATTTTGTCTCCATATCAATATGTCTTCAATATAATGTCCAAGTTGATCGTAACTAATTTTCAAATAATTAAAGGTTGCATCCATATGAAGTAATTCTCATTATATTGACATTTTAGCAATTCTAGAAAGCGAGTACGACATAAAATTACCTTGATCAAGTTTTCCCGTTTTCATATTCATAGTGTTTGCCATCCCAATGTTGTTTTTATGTTTTTCATTAGAGCTTCCCATGAACATTATGTCTTGATGTTCGCTACGATTTTTGCTCTGCGCAAGAGATGATAAATCGTTTAACAAACCAGTCAGCTTCTTGTAATCCACGACTGCTATTTCGTAATTTTTATCAACGACAACAAGTGACAAGCCAATCTTGGAAAGCACATCATTAACATTGTTTTCGCAAGTCTTTTTGTATTCCTCTTGTTTTGATATACCAAGGTTTCTTTTCTACAGAATCATACGAATTAACATTTTGAAACACCAAACTAAAATATTTTTGCTGAGAAATAATGCTCAGTACCGGAGGTGATGGCAGTACCCACCAGTGTTTTCCAAGCACAAAATATTTACTTACATACAGTATACTTTGTAGTCCATAATAGGAGTTCTTCTGGATTTTTTATAAATAATGTAATTATGTTTTCGACTCAGTGCTTTGAGCCTTATTTTTTCATTCGTCGAAAGCACAATTACGTAAATTATTTATCGTAACTGCGTAAAAGCACGATTGATAATGTGCATTTAATAAATACGACAATTTTTTTTAATAAAACATGTTTCAACATCTCGTGATGCTGAAGACAATTTGATTTTTATTACATAAGGCCCGTTCGATTTTTTCGGATCCTGTAAAACAGATCGTGTGAACACATATATCGGATCCGATAGTCGGATCCGTCAATCTAAAAATTTCGGATGGAAATAGACCTCGCTCTTTTTCATCCGACAAGATCAAAGGAAGCCGGCCAGCCAAATTACATAGAAAAACTGGAAACAAGAAAAAATATTCGAAAAATATATCGATAAATGCATACTGGATAGAACAAATGGCTCCTCGCAAGACTATAAATATCTAAACGAACATAAATGTCAATAAAATTAACGGAACCTAAACAATCGGATCAGAGAAATCGGATGGTGTGAAACGTGCAAACTATGGATAGTTTGGAAGCTTTACATACTTGTATCTCTTTAATGCTAATAAATTTGCTTAAAAAGTTAAAACATATTGTTGAAAATGTTTTATTGATTCTGCATTATTTGTTGTATCAAAGCATTATATTAATATAGCATCGCTATGGTGACTATTGTAGCTAGCCAGCAATTTCGTCCTGCTATGATAATCTTTTCTTCTCCAAAGGTTATTAATTGGTGCATTTTATATTAATTTTTACGTATGCTTTCAATTAAAAAATAAAAGATGTTTATGTTGTTTGCACGGGCTTATACAAACCGAGGAGACATTTGGGAGAAGTCAAGAGCAGATCAGTGCAAGCCCGAGACCAAAGGTTGCACATGCTCGAGATTGTTTTCTCATACATACAGATTGGCTACAATTTTTTGATTTTTTACACATAAATTCAGCCAATCTGCATTGCGTTTGAGCATTCAAAAATATGACGAATGTTTAAATAAGTGTCCACAGCATAAGTTTTGAAAAATATTTTCCCCAAACCCTAAAAACATTCGCATTTTTGAAATGCATGGACATACATTTTAATGTTAAAAAAACTGCAAAAATACATTTTTGCTGTGATGGCAGTTTTAAGTTCTTCAAAAATAAGAGCCATCCCGAAAGAGGAGTGTATAAAAGTGATTCAAAACTTTGCCAGACGAGTACAGGGTTTGCTTGCAACGAAATGGTGGACATTTGGAACACATCTTGGGAAAGCCATAAATTGAATAAAAATTGACAGAAATAGCCGAAATTTTGTGAATAGTCTTCCATAAACTGAATGATGTGTGATTGTAATTTGAAATAAATAGCTTTTTAATTGAAGCCATAATTGAAATTTTCATGGGTACAAATCTTTTTGGGTCACCCTGTATGTGAATGCTGAGCCATTTCGCTAGTAACTTCAACTTGTTGCATGGTATTTCAAATCATAAGCACTCCTCAAAAAAAGACTTCATCATTTATAAGTAAGATGATGTACGTACGTAGCATTTTTATGAATAATTTAATTTAACAAAAATTATGCAAAAGTATGATATTTTACCTGCACACCTGTCTGTTGTATCTCATCTTCATGTCTTTTTAATTTTTCTTCAAGTTCTTCAACCTTCACAAACTTCTCGTGGTATGCATCATAACTTTTTTCCAGTTTTGTTACCAGTTCGCCCATTTTTTTTTCATACTGAAGTTGCATATTCTGATATGACTGTTGCAATGCCATGAAATTTTCATTCATAACATACAACTGCTGATCTTTTAAAATGTATGCATCCTTTAATTGAGAAAACTCTAATAAATAAAGAGTCAAAGAAAATCAATTAACCATATAAATTAGAGTCTACTCAAAAATGTATGGAGAAATATCCAATTTTGTCCTAAATGTGCTTAATTCATACCAAAAAAACTCAAGCCGTCATTATGGGTACATATCGACATAGAAGTAGAAAATAATAAACTTTGCTAATTTTGGGTGGGTATACGTAAGTCCAAAAACAGTTGAGTTGAGATCATACGATAGCTTCAAAATCCTAGTTCAAACTTTGGGGATGTAAAAGTGCAGAGGTGTAAATCCTCATTGTAAACATTGGGGGTGTAAAAGTTCAGAGGTGTAAATTCTCATTGTAAACATTGGGGTGTAAAAGTTCAGAGGTGTAAATTCTCATTGTAAACATTGGGGGTGTAAAAGTTCAGAGGTGTAAATCTCTCATTGTAAAATTGTAAACTTTGGGTGTAAAAGTTCAGAGGTGTAAACCTCATTGTAAACATTGGGGTGTAAAAGTTCAGAGGTGTAAATTCTCATTGTAAACTTTGGGGGTGTAAAACTTCAGAGGTGTAAATTCTCATTGTAAACTTTGGGGGTGTAAAACTTCAGAGGTGTAAATTCTCATTGTAAACTTTGGGGGTGTAAAACTTCAGAGGTGTAAATTCTCATTGTAAACTTTGGGGTGTAAAACTTCAGAGGTGTAAATTCTCATTGTAAACTTTGGGGTGTAAAACTTCAGAGGTGTAAATTCTCATTGTAAACTTTGGGGGTGTAAAACTTCAGAGGTGTAAATTCTCATTGTAAACTTTGAGGGTGTAAAACTTCAGAGGTGTAAATTCTCATTGTAAACTTTGGGGGTGTAATTTGTGTAAAACTTCAGAGGTGTAAATTCTCATTGTAAACTTTGGGGGTGTAACACTTCTGAGGTGTAAGTCTCCATAGCAAATTTTGCGGGTTTAAAAGCTCAGTGGTGTAAATCTCCAAAACACAGATAGATCATATATGTACTTCCTCTGTCAACATAGTATGAACTGAAGAGTTGGATGTATTTCAACAGACAGAATTTCTTATCAATAGACTAAAAATTACACTGTTGGTAGATAGATGACCTGGATCACCAAAATCAAACCATACACATTATACACAGAAATGAAAAATCCTTAAGGTGGTCATCTCCCTTTCAGACATGTTTTTTTTCAAATTTTTTCGAAAAATTTTTTTTGCAGTTTATGTTACTTTGATTATTGTACTTGATGAACATAGGATCTATTTTTCGATAGAATAATGCAAAATATCAAAAAAAAGCCACCAAAGAGACCATGTCCTAAATTTTTAACCTTAGCAACGCCATAGCAACGTGTTTTTAACCATATTTCACCCCCGAAAAAAGAAAAAAAATAGCTGTTTTCGAGCTGTACTTTTGGTGTATGTTATTCAGCGCTCTTGTGGAAAGATTCATTGTAATTGGTAGGATTTAGTCGGCATAGCAACGACTTGAAGCCATCTAATCATACCGCTTTGCTCGCCTCGTGCAGTTCGAAAGTGCTCTCTTGAAATCGTCAGAATAGTCTTTGTTTTACTTAGTTACGCCTGAAATATTTGTTTTGTTTGATTTTTCGTATATTTTTTGTAATTCTTACTTTTAAAAATTATGGGAAATAAGCGGAATAAAAAGAGAAAAGCGGTTAGAACTCCGCCATCAAAAATCAAGAAGATGGCCAAACATGGCCGATACTGTGATGAAAGTTGGCAGCAATACGGAGAAAATTGGACAATGTCCACCTCCAATAAAAAACGTCAATGATGGTACAATTTTCATTGACTTGTCTGTGCTTTTTGAAGTGTTCATGATGTTTTATTGTCCCGAGTGTGGTGGTAATATACACTGTCATCTTGACATGAGGAAGAAAAATGGCTATTCCCATTACATAATCCTTGGGATGGTAAAGGTGTGAGTGGAAAGGGAAGATTGACTGATGCTAAAATTGACCTTCTGCAAAATTACTATGGATTGGCAGTGAGAGAGAACCTGCATGACATAGATAAAATGGCAAAAGCAATCAAGGCATCCCTTTATCATGTGGCATCAAGTGATGATAACCCTCAACATGAACTTTGCCCCGACACTGAAGACAGTTGGTGTGGATACAAGAAAGACCCTACAACATACCATCATAAGAAAGGTATACCAAAAAGTATTGTTGAGCTCATTGAACCCATTTATGAAAGTCTAAGTGATGAAAGCTTGTTGGAAAAGTGTACACATGGTTTGACACAGAATGTGAACGAGTGTCTGAACGGGCTAATATGGGAAAGATGCCCAAAGTCCACATATGTGTAACAGGAAACTGTAGCACTTTCAAGCTTCTTGGCTGTGCTTAAATTCAATGAAGGAGATATATTATTCCTCAAATTATTTAGTGACTTAGACATACTACCTGGCTTGTTTACTACAAATGGTGCATTGCATTGTGATACCGATCGTATCAAATTATGCTCCAAGAAGAGCACAGAGAAGGTAAAAAAATAAGAAAAACACTCAGGCATATGAGAAAGAACTTTGTAGATAGTTGTGAACAGAATGAAGGAAAAACTTATGAACCTGGTGCCTTCTAGTCTCAGTAAGATCATTATAAAACTTCAAATGCTAATTTCTCCTTTTCCTTATTTCCTCTTAGAAGGAAATTTTTGTGACACGATTACTTTTTCAATATTTGTTGTAGAAAGCTCAAATTTTTTGTGGTAATAGTTAGTAACTGAATCTAATGCATGACACTTTTAAAAATTTGATAATGTTTAATAATAATGAAAAATTAAGGTTCATGCATCTAACGAAGAATGAAATTTTCCTGAATACCTAGTTTTTCTCACTTATTTCTTTTAAAATAGCTTTTTAACAAAATCAAAAAGTGTCATGCACTAGCTCTTCATATAAGCTTTGTAAATATGTATTATATATAAGTTTCTGATTAGCAGTTTTGATGCAATCGTGTTTGAAAAGAGGCTCATTTTATGCTAATTAATTAGTCGCCATCTTTGATAATTAGCATAATTAATGAGTGATCAAAAAAAAAATTGTCAGATATGATTTCTCACATTCAGCACTTCCCAAAAATGTTGTTTTAAAGTGTCTACCTGTAAAACTAAAAAAAATTGCTCTAAAGGGGGATGACCACCTTAAGTTAAATATTATTTCATCCTTGACACAACAAGATAGAGCTAATTTATTTAGTATGAACTTTTCAAACACTTACCTCCTTTCAAGTTTGCTAAATCCTCATTCGCACTAAATTGTTTTGGTTCAATATATTGATGATTTTTAGCGGGTTTCCTTTGGCCCTTTGGCTTTCTAGGAATATCCTTTGGTTGATTTGCCATTCTCGTACCAGATTATTCGAGCATTAAACGAGACGTAAAAATTGCTCAACATAACATGATTCTTTTATTGCAATAACTGACAATATGATGAATGAAAAGATTATTTGTGGTGTACCATAAAAAAATTCAAAGTAAAACCAATGAGTAGGCAAAAATGTAACAAAAATCGCAATAAAATGACATCAACAACCTAAAATATTTATTCATAGTAGATTCAGGGGGGAGGAGAGCACAAGTGGAGCTTAGTCTGAGCATGGTCTGGAGTCAAGTGGTGGTGACATCATTGAAATGACCTCAGCTGTGATCACTGATCAATCTAGGGAAGTAGATATAGCTAGGCTCTGGCTTCTACATTCTGTTGCAAATTCTTTCCCGGAAACCAAATATAGTTCATTTTCAGATTGTACAATCGAATGATTCGTGGACTTTGCGATGTACTGAAGTTGTAGCATAAGTTTAAAATATCTCGTTGTGCTTGGTTGTGCCAATATCGTTTCGGAATATGCACTGGTTGGCGAAATAAATTACATTTACAATAGCGGTGAATAGCTTATCGATTGTAGATTGGTAAGATTTTATTCTTTGGAAATTCATAACCAATGAAATTGTTATAAATGTATTTTGAATTTTAATTATGTAGTGTCAGTCACAATCATGTAAAGTAAATATAAAGCTACTGTAACTGTATCGTAAAATAAAATACTGTTTGTCCTGTCTGTTCTTTCTTAGCCATTTAGGACTACATACTTGTTTTACTGCTTTTCTAAAAGAGTTTTTCTGTGTATTCTTTCTTTGTAAATTGTAGATGTTTCATATCAGGTAGCAGTTGTTTAAAAAATGACCTCCTTCAAATATGTTAAGAATCCTCATTTACATGGAAAGAAATATGATGAGTTATTTCATCTTGGCTTAAGCACAGAAGATGATCTTAAGGGAATTTTTGGTGATGTGAAGGTGGGTTCTTGTTTAATTATTTTGTTCATTCTACAAATGTTTTATGTGAACTCTTGAGTGCCATTATATAATGATAATTTTGTTTAACTTCTTGACAAAATCTCATTCAATCCTATATTATCATGACATTGAAGTAATTAAATCACCAAATATTGAGTACAATTTCTTCAGCAGTGCTTCTTTTGTTATGGCTCATTAGTGTACATGTGTTTCTGTGTTTCTGTACTGTATACTGTGTTTCCCAAAGATTGTACATGGTGGTTTATTTTAGAACTGTTTGCTGTGGTTGTATAAAATGTAATAGTTGCTTGAAGTTTGCTCTTCCCTAAATTTGAGTTGATAAGAATAAAGAAATTGAGCAGCTAGTTTGCAATATAACTTTACATCATACAGAGTTAACAAACAATTTTTTCCAACTATCTGCAAAAAATTAGCAAGTATGTAGTCATGACCTTTGTTTCATCTATGCACATTAGCAGTACATTCATCTGTTGTTTGTCACAACTCAAAATCATTTACGTAATCTCAACTTTTGATTATACAACTACTAACTCTGATATTTCCAAGTTGAACCCTTTTTTTAATGTGTAATGGCCTTTGCTCTGTAATTTGAAGACAACTTATTACTTATTTTATGGCCAATTGTATTAAAATGAAGTTTTCACTTTAGTTTGTTTGCATGGGAGGAAGTATTAACAGAATGAAGAAATTTGCTAATTTCATCAAAGAGAAACTTCAACTTGCTGGTTTTGCAGGTGACAAGGAAGTTTCCAATCTGAGTAGGACAGATCGCTATGTTATTTATAAGATTGGCAAAGTGCTGACTGTTAGTGTAAGTATTTTTTCATATTATATGAAGAACGTGATACTTTATCATGACAATCATTGATAGATTGTCCTAAAATTAGCCAACTGATTTGTAATTTATGCAGGCAGCTATGTATGCACCTCTGTGTGGAATTTTCCCAAGTATCGCTTAAGTACGTAATAAGAAAATCAATTTTGTTGCAAGTTTTAGCATGAGAAAAGAATTGTAGGTTTGATAAGCTGCTTGTTTGTTTGTAAATTACTTTTACTGAAAATGCAAATTCAGTAATTTTACAAATAAACCAAAAATAACATTTAGTGCTTTCTAAAAATAAAAGGGACCAGTCACCCAGTACACACACCTTCTAAATCCACCCTTAATTTTCAGGTTTGGTTGATTCAGAACATGCAAGTTGCTACGAACTTCTCCTATAATATGTTTTACAATTTATAACCCCCAACTACATAGATAGCTTATTTGAAGACTTTTTGAGTTGAAAGCCATTAACACATGCAAAATGATATTGGTTTAGCATATCATCCAAGCATGCAATTCAGTGAAAGTATTTGCTTTGTGATGTTGACTTCAAGCATTTAAGAAAATTTTTATTTCCTCTTGAATATGATTTATATATTGAAACAACATGTTTTTTTGTAGCATGGTATTGGAGTTCCATCCATATCTATAGTTCTTAATGAAATCATCAAGGTCCTCAGCTATGCTGGTGCTAATGAGGTGGTGTTCTTTAGAGTTGGAACTTCTGGTGGCCTAGGTTTGTATTTATAACAGATACAGCTCAGAAATCCATAATATAGTTAAGGTCATAGAAATTATGTAAAAGCACACAATGCAAATTATCTTGAGAAATTGTGATTCCATATTTTATATTTTACGATTGTATATTTTAAATAAATTTTCAAACACAGCTAACTGCAAAACTCATATTACTTTCCATTTATTCACTCTTGATGTGTTGTTACTGATTTTTCTTGTTAAAGATTTATTGAAAACATTCCAATGTCTAATTTCTTAAAAATCCTATTTACCACAATAGCCTATTTATTATGTTTATCACAGATTGAAAATCCTTTGCCAATGACCTTTGTATACATTAATAATGATGGTTCAATAACGATAGTTCAACAATCATTTTTTTGCATTCGCATGCAGTGTAAAATCATTCAGATTATTCTGCAAGATTTTTTTTAAATTTAGGTACTGAACCCGGAACAGTTGTAATAACAAAAAAAGCTGTGAATGGATCGATGGAACCCAAGTATGAAAATGTGTGTATCTTGTATTCTATAAAACAATAGTTTTTCTATGTGTTTTTTCGAAGATTTTCATCCACTAGTTAACGTTTTCGATTGATCATTTTGGAAACAATTACATCACTTTTAAAATATTATCACGTATTTCTAAATATCCGCTTTTTTGGCTTCGGAACTAAAAACTTTTTGACGCACACCATGTACATCATTTGTACAGTATATGTCTCTAGCAGGCATGAGAAATTCCCCTCCCCCAAATAAAAACAACCAAAAAATTGGTACTTTCTCATAAAAAAATTATTTTTTTGTTACAATTACCCTTTGAAACTGTTTTTCTATGAAGTGACATTGTTCCAGCTTCATCTTAACACACTGACAAAAAAAGTGCGGTAGACCTAGATTAGTATTTTATAACTAAAGTAATAATTTGAGTGAGCTTTAAAATTTACCCAATTTAAAATTGTCCGCTTTTAATCATTTTTATAAGATGATCCTTGGCAAGCGTTTTTATTATCCCAGTGACTTGGATAGTAAGCTGGCATCTCAAATACAGTTTTGTTCTCAAACTGATGTCGATTTCCCTGTAATCTATGGAGATACGATGTGCGCATCTGATTTTTACGAAGGTATAATTTCATAATCTCATTTAATTGTATTGTCACTTCGTGTTTTGCATTTTTGTGATTTCATAGAATTGGATAAATTAGTTAACCATGTCCATATGGGCTAAGATATTTGTATTTATTGTACTTAGAAAGAAATTTTCCACCATTGACTCTTGAATATTCTTGAGTCTAAAGTAAGCCACGATTTCAGTGTGTAATTTTTTCTTTCCTCTTCTGCTATGCACCTTTGAACATTTATAAATAAGGATGCACTTGTGTATCTGTGCAGTTGTTTTATCTACGGCGCTATCCTCACTGCTCGATTTTAAAATTTTCTGAAGACCTTAAGCGCAGCCAACCTACACCTCAGATCAAAGATTACATGGCTTCACCAATATTTCAAACAAACTTTGACAACGCAAGTGTCTTGGAAACTTTATAACATGTTCATCAAGCATTTCACCGAAGTAACTATATAAAGTATATTTATTTCTTACGTACATGCCATTATCTTAAGGCATGTAAACTTTGTGTTGGTTTTGTTCCGAAAAAGCAATTTCTTCTGGTTTTTTGCTTACTGAAATCAAACAAATTTTTTTGATCGAGATCATTATTTTGCTTATTTCTGGTAAGTTTTCCATTAGTGTAAACGCAATAACAGTTTTTGGCAAAAGGTGCTTTATAGTAGGTTGGGTTTTTTTTGCAGGTCAAGCCAGATTAGATGGTGCTTTCTGCGAATTCAATGAACAGGAAAAAATGACCTACCTTAAGGACATTAAAAAGGCTGGAGTATGTAACATTGAAATGGAATCATTGTGTTTCGCTGCAATGTGTCGTAAAGCAGGAATATCTGCAGCAGTAGTTTGTGTGACTTTAGTGAATAGATTGAAAGAAGATTGCGTTACTCTTTCTCCAGAAGATCACGAAGAATATCAGCTCCGACCAATGAAACTAATCATACCTTACATAATAAATCATCTTTTGAAGACACAATAAATATGTGTATTATAGTCTTCCAATGATCCGTTGCGTTTATAATGTTTGATTTAGCTTCTCTCAGTAATTTCATCTTTATTATTAGTATTATGACATCTATTTACCTTTATGTTTGCTTTACCTTAACTGTACCTATATCCCTACGGCAAATTGCTGTTTATATCCTCTATCAATGTACCTTTATATTTATTTCATTTTATTGTATCAATAGTATCGATGTTCTTATGTATGTATATTTGTATACTTAATGTAACTCTATCACTATCTACCTTTATATTGCCTTACCTTATACTGTATCTTTATTCCTACTGAATTAATATCTTTAGCCCTGATGTATTTGTATCTATATACTTTATTCGATTTGTATCTATGTATATTTTTTATGATTAATTTATTAGCTTTTATTTTTAAGAAATGTCTTTTCAATTTTTCTTTCAAGAAACAAGTCGACGGAACGTGGAATAAGACCCACCCACAATTTAAAGAAAGCCGCTTCGAAAACTAAATACAAGAAGAGAAGTTTGAATGCTTTTCTATGGTATTTTCATTTTTTAATAGAAAAATACCTGTGAAATTTCAATTTGGATACGTATCAATGTGGCAACCGCAAAATAGTACGTAGGTCCAGATTACAAGCAGTTCATGGTTAGCTAACCACGTGAAACAACAGAACCGTAAATAGCACTTGTGTCTTATACACGGACAGATTTCCTTAAGGGGTGCCTAACCTACCCACCCACCCCGAAAAAAACACATTTTACCCATCCCAATTTTTAGCAAAACAAGTCGGTAAAACAGCTGAACCGAGTTCCTCTGGGCAATATATCAACTCTGTACACTTAATTTGGTAGCTACGTTACTCGACCGCCCTAAAATCCTCACTACCTTACTTTGTCTTAATTCATTTTCGTAACAGCTCACCACCCAAAATTTCTAGCATTAAAGACTGAAACACACTAGGCAGTCGCTTTAGTCGCGCGTCTAAAACTACCGCTTACTAAGCTAGTAGCGTTTTCGCGTCAGCTAGTCGCTTTGAAAGTTCAACATGTTGACAACTTTTGACATTGGTCACTTTACACTGATTGGCCAATAGATACATTTTAACTTCCTAAATGCATATTATATTCCCTGTCATAAGCATCATACCGAATTCATAGATATTCCTTGGAAAACGAGGGCAATATATAGTGAAAAAACACTGGAAACTTTCAGTTTCAAGACTTATCAAATAGGGACAATTGAAGCTACAAACTGGAACCCTAATGCACAATCTAAATGCCCAGAATAAAATTGCCCACAATATACGCGTAATGGGCTATGATCATATCAGCGTGTTTTAACTGGCTTGCTCTCTTTTCTCCACATAGTGAGTAAATTTAGTTTGTACTGAGTAAATATTCATATACTAGTAGCTATAATAAAGGCCAAAATAAAAGGTTTAAGTCATGTCTGTGTAACAAACAGAAATCTCCGATATGTTCAATAGACGCCACGGTAAAAGTCGCGATTATCGCTGCATGTGTGTTTCTGGCGTTCAAGCGACTGACCCGTGCGCATCAATTCGCTTTGGACGCGCGACTGAAGCGACTGCCTAGTGTGTTTCAGCCTTAACACCGTAAAAAATATGAAAATCCGTTGATGATCTGAGAGTTTTAAGCGATAAAGCAACAGAATGAAGTTAAAAGCATTATAGTGAAAAATAAACAGTTTCTATGTCATGGATTTTGAAGCCAAAATTTCAAGTGATTCCACTTCCAAGCGTACATGCAACAAATGTCACCATATTTTAGTTCAAAACTCCTTCGACATTTGCGACGTCAAAGTCAATTAACCTGGCATTAAATCCCATTGATTTTTGTATTCTGCAAAGATTCCACCACAATTTCTTGTAACTTCTGTAACATAAAATAATTCGAAAATATAAATTATAACTTTCCAAAACCCTAACCTCGACTGTATGATTCAACAAACACAAGCGAACGAACATTTATTGTTTCTCTCTATACGATTGATGGTAAGTAGATCGAGTGATCCATTTTTGCAATCTTTTAGAAGGGACAAGTTTGTTTAAGTTATAAATTAATTGTGCAGTAAAGCAAAGACCAATCAAAATTACTTAAGATTGGGTAACAAAACATCCTTAGTTTCTACTTAAGGAGAATTATTATTATTGTGTTATTAATATCATATTATTATAATTATTATCATTTTCTGCTAAGGTGTTCGCGCAGACGTCGTCAATTTTTCGCGAGGGATCTGGGTCTGGGACGCTTCCACGTCGTAAAGTATTTGTGATTTAACAGATCTTTTGTAGGACTTCGTCAAAGAATGATATGAAACAAGTTTCACCCATTTCGGCATTTTTCTGCTGGCCCGTTTTTTCTATCATTTAAAACTAGTTTTTTGATTTTAAAAATATATTGCAGTATATTTTTTCAATAAAAAATATAAATAAAAGCAAAATCATCGACATACGGCTTTATGAGTAAAATTGTTTTGACTCCAAGGAAACCCCCAAAATTAGAGCAGGCCCAGCGTTGTTTATTTGTGTTTTTTTTACGCTTCAGGACACTAAACTTTCGCAGTTTTTACAAATTTATGTAGGCCTACATATATAAACTTTTGAGATGCAAATATCAAAGATATATCCTTTTTTCTGTCCACAAATTGAGTTCGGTTCAACCGTCGTCGATAAGACATCAAGATAGATTTAGATTTAAGGACTCGAATTCTAAAGGCCCGTTCACACGATCCGATTTGTCGGATCCGATTTTGTCCTATTTTCATTTAGGTCAAAGAAATCCTACCAGCCAAATTACATTGATTTGAAAGACTTAGAAAAATTGGAAACAACAAAAAAAAATACGAAAAATATATCGATAAATGTACACTGGATAACACAAATTGCTATTCAAATAACTATAAATATCTAAAGGAATATAAATATCAAAAAGTGATCGCACCGTCAGAATAAGCAACCAAAAGTCGGAACCGAAACAATCGGATCAAATCAATCGGATCGTGTGGACAGGCTTTAAAATGACGTGAGCTGTCCTAGGCGGCCTGGATTGACGACGCCGTTGGAGGCTTTGTGGAGGCTTTTGCCTCCATCGTATGATTTGTGTTTAATCAAAAGTTACATCACCTGTGGCTTACATTCCTCTTCTAACCATTTAAAAATGGACGCGGATAGGGCGGAAAAGCTCGTCACGTGAGCAGCATTGTTGAATGTGACAAATTGCGCGTCCATTATTCTTTTAAACTATGAAATATAATTCGATTGAATTAAAGGCAACCTTTACATCAGGGTATCTCGTTACATATTTGTGCCAAAGAAGAAACCAGTTTATACAATGCGGAAAAGAATTCGTAATTCTGTTGTACCAAAGATGCATGAAATTTTGCCTGTTCAGTGAAATATACTGTACCAAGTTAAATTTAGCTTCTTCTGTTATTGCATTGCTAGTAGAACCCATACCCTAGACAACAGAAATGATACGTAAAGATACTGCCAAACTTGGGACAGTAAATTGGAATAAAAGATTGTTTTCGGTTTTTTAAAAGAAGTTTTCTCATCGAAGCTAGTGTAAAGGGTGTATGATGGACAGATTTTTGTGGCTAAAACTGATACATTTGACCCCAGCCAACAAAGCATCAATCTTATACAGTTTTTACGTGGAAATTGTGGGTAATGTAACTAAATATGAAAAAATGGCACACTTTGTGTATGTAGGTATGTAGATTTTTATAGCCATTTATACCTTGATATTGGGAAAAAAGATGTCAAAGTAGGGATTCAAGGCAAGTTTCAAACATTTACGTTCATGATACGTACGTCAATATATTTTAAACGCGACTCTACTACTTTAATTTCGATCTGTATAAAGATGGTCCATTAACTTTACGGGAAAAAAGGACATTTATACTTTATAGGTACTACATTATTATCTGCTCTTCTCAATTAATCAATCCGCTATTAAACAATTTGTTCGAAATTGATTTCTAACTATATTTATTTTTTATTTATCGGTGCAAAGCGATAATTATTGATTTCCAGCAATTTGATTGGCTGCCTGAGCGGGCAGCCTCTTACGATTATTACCTATCATGAAAATATTTTTTCCGACGGACCTCCCAGCCGGTAAAAAACATATGTATATTACGTAATTGGATAAGCCTTTTTTCAAAGCGCTTGTTCGGCAGTTTTTAATGTAATGTATATTTTAATTTTATTTAAAACAAAGTGCTTCTCTTTCAAATTTATGAGCTCTGTTGAACACTATTATGCAGTGGTGTGCAAAAGAGCTCACAAATAAGTGGTATAAAAATTCAAATTTTAATCATTACTATCTAAGAACAATTTTTGGAATCGGAAAACTTAGTATAGTTAGCTATCTCTATTTGATTGAGTTCATGAAATTTTAATACAGTTAAACTCACCGGTGTGTAAGTGGAACTGGCTATTTGTTCATAGTTTCTAAAAATAATCAAATCTCTCTAAAATAACGAATGTAGTTGAAGGGACAGCAACAACATAATTATTTCTTACGTATAGAGACTTAATTATTTCTTATATAAAATGTTTCTGACTTATGAAAACCATTGTTTTCTTACGGATAGAGACTTTAATTATTTCTTATATAAAATGTTTCTGACTAGTGAAAACCATTGTTTGAATCATCCAAAAATTCGTAAGAAAGAGCAATATCATAAGATTTGAGACCTATGTCTAAAAAACACCGCATAGAAGACCTGGAGTCTGTTACACAATTGCAAAAACGTCATTTAATTTAAAAAACCTACGTATAAGTTTGTATCCAGGCTTCCGTGATCGGAACGTTTTCCGGGAAAACACGAAAATTGACTTACGTAAGCAAAACGAGTGCTTTATCGTGCACGTACGTACGTATGTAAATAAAAACCTCTTACGCTTTCATAATTTTAAGAGCCAAAACTTCTTTCTTCAGAGTGTCGATCTCTTGTTGTTGTTGATCTTTTTCATCCAATATGGACCTGAGATACTCGATTGCTGCATAAATAAAAATATAAATTTTTCAATTAATACAAAAGTCGAACTTCTAACACTATGTAAAATACTCCTCATCTCCAAGCTTTAACCATCTCTTAATGTCTAAGGCAGTTCTATTCCATTAAATCTTATCTAATTCCATTCAAAACCACTCTATCCCTTAACACAAAAAATCACACAACACTATCATTACTATACCTTTTAATTTAACACCCTGTAAATAATTTATAATTAGAATATATGTTTTCTAACTTCCTATAAATGCATTCTAATCTGAAGATGTCTTAAGCTAAAGACGAAACGTTATTGTTAATATAATTGTATATACACGGCCATATTAAAAGATTTATGTTGGGCAATTATATTTATACTTGGAATTTGCTTTCCGCTGATGCAGTTACAAATGTATGAGAGAAATTTTTTGCGCATGTTGTTCTCTCTTTTTTTGTGCAAACTTTAAAGCGCAATAAATTCACCACTTGGCCATCATCCTAGTACTCAAACGAGTCAGCATTTGATGTTTCCATCCATTTTTTTACTGTATTAATTTTTCTGGTAGCTACAACCTTTCGACAAAGATGGCAAGAAAGACAAAAATAAAAAGAGAATAACCGATCGAATATAATTTTGCTCTCTGATTATTAACAGTAACATCCTTGATGTTTACTTACGATAAAAAAACAGCATATTTATGTCATATTACAAGCAAAATATAAAAGCAAAATGTATGGCTGATAAGGTTGCCAGTTTGGCTTAATATGTTGAGCAAATTTAGCGTCCTTTTCTAGCGTTAGGCTTATTTAAAATCAAAATTTCCTTTGGTTTATTTTTCAAATTTGGCTTATTTAAGTTTTTTTGTCTTGTTTTAGGAATCAAAATCAAATTGTTTCCTGATTCTGCTGAAAATACTCAAAATACCTATGATGCCAATTGCTAAAAACAGTACGTAACGGTTTACAAAACAACGCAAATGCAAAAATTGACATTAATAATGTATTACACCCCTATTGTCATAAGCATATAAGCACCATGTTGACTCTTGACAGACTTCCAAGTCAAAAGAAAATGGATTTTTATGTCGTGCAGCGCACTCGTTTATAAAGTAAAGATCAGTAAAGATTAAGCTTGAAAACTTTTTTCAATTCATGTGGTGGTAATCAATAAAGAAGTTTTTTTGCAGTGATGTGCACTTGTTTTCATTTTAGCTAAAACGATGTGCAAATTGCACATTGCACACAGTTAATTCGCACACTGTATACATGTAGAGTTAATATACAGCTCAGCTCTATAGGCTTGACTCTAACACCAAGAAACATTGCTGTCAACATACCTAATTATAAAAGGCTTGTTCTTGGGGGTTTGAATATTTCAAACATTTCAATATGAAACAAGCAACTGCTCTTAGAGAAAAAAGACTTACTTTTCTGCAAAACCACAGCTTTACTTAATTTCGGACTGACAGAAGAATCTTCCCCAAGGCATGTGGGAACAATTTGTTGAAGATCATCATAGCCTTTCTAAAGAAAACATGAACTGTCATTTCCTAAATATCACTTAAATGCTCTTACGCTCTGTATAACAGAATCACATGCTATGATTAAAAAATAAAGAAATAAATCAAAACTATGGAAGATGTGGTCAAAGAGGCAAACAAAATGGGGTCAGCGAATAGAATAAATTGACTTAGGAAACAACTAAACAAGATATGTACAATAAGGGGAACAAGGTGTGCACAGCTACATAAGGGAACAAGGTATGGTTAACTTAGAGAACAAGGTGCAGTAAATATATTTTTTAAATAGAAGTAGCTTGGGCAAACACATAGCAAACCCTTTTCTGATGGAGTGATGGCTAAGTTCATGCATCACAATAAATTGAGACCTGATTTTTAAGATACACTGTACATATTTTTGATATTATTGCATATTTTGATTATTAAGTCTAATAACATTTTTCCACGCAATGTTGTGAAGTTGATTTGAAAATTCAAATTTTTATTCATACAATAAAAAAATACCCAATCATAATGGCCTTTGATTGTAAATTTGTAATTTTTTGTAAACAGATCTGCTTGGGAAAAACCACTTGAATGAAAAAGAGAAAATTAATAAATGATTCACTGTTATCGGAACTTGTTTATGGAATTCAATAAAAAGCACCAATGGAGGATCAAAACAAATTTCCATCATAATACAAGTACAATTTCACATCACAAGTGCTGTATGTAATTGCAAAAGGTATACAAAACAACTAAGTAGCTTATTTATGTAGCAACAACATTTGATGTAAGAATTCCTTCCTAATCATTCAATTAAGTGAATACTCATTGAATGTGATGCAGTGGAAAAAATATGGCTGTGGAAATACACTCGTGGGCACATTAATGGGGATGTAAAGTGTACATAAAAAGATGCTTGTGGTATGTCAGTGACCTTTATTGCATCTCTTCGTTTTTGTTCTGCCACAGTGTGTGCTGTTCTCCTCTTGTTGCTTTGGACACAAGTTTTATCATCACCTCATAAACAAAGATGGTAACAGTTTCAATAATCATTTTATCAAGATTCCAAGTGCATTACGGAAACAAAATCTTCTAATCAACAATAACGTCACATGTGAATTTCGTACAAATTTCTAGTAAAAATACTACATAAAACAATGTGCCAATTACTTAATTTAATTGCTAAAACCAATTCCTATTTCTAAGAAGAATTCAATGCTCACTGCAAAATTTAATTCCATACTAGTTACCTGTGATACATATTTCACTGTCATCATTTAAAGGACTGACTGGCTCTTCCTTAACATCATCTCTAATGTCTAAGATAATTTAGTTGATGAAGTCATTAAAAATGGTGTGCATTTCTCATTAATGTGCAGTAGTGCGAATTTGTATATCACGTTACATCAAGTTTTTGCAGATCACTTCTGGTAAAAAATGTTGGTCAAATTATATTCATAAAATATAAAATCTTATTCACACTGTGTTCAACTTTATTCATATTAATGGCATTAAATCAACAAAAGAGCAACCCAAATACTAGAAGACAACATTATAAAGCTGGCACATGCTTACAAGACATTTTAGCTGATCTGAGTTTATTTCACCTTACAATTTTGAAACTGCCTGCTACCCAGAAAAACATAATTAAAGGCTCCAGTATGAATGAAGACAATTATCCACACAACCATTTTCTTATTATAGTAAGAACGTTTTTCATACAATTGAATTAATGTAAGAATAAAATCACGAAAATACAAGCAAGGTTTGAATAAAAACAAATCACCTACCCTCAAGGGCTGTTCTTGCCACTGGAAAATTTCCCTTAAAAATTGGATGAAATTAGAAAATTGTCCTGAGGAATTAGACATTGGTGCACATTGGCAAATCAAACCTTTAGAGGCAAAAGACGATGGTCCACTATTTTTGAACGAAACATAACATCATCATAGAAAACGACATATTTAATAGTTGTTTATAGTGTGGCGCACACAGTCTGGTTAAGTGTGCACAGTAAATTACATATTAAGAGATTTTTTCATAAATTTCACATTAGATATTATTATATCTTTTCAACATAGTGTAAAGCAACATGGAATGAACAAAGCCTTCTTCAACAAGGTTGCATGTGCTTTAAGTCAAAAGCCAAGTTATTGAACAACGAAGGCGTGAAGAGGGAGTACAAAGTACGATTATGTGTTTTTCTTTTCATGAATCGAAACGAACAGCATTTTTCTGCTTCGTCAGTGAAAGCAACGGCTCATAAAATGATAGCAGTACGACAGTTTTTATTGACTAGCACAGTTTATTTTCATAAACATGTCGCATTTCACATTATAAATTAATAATTGTTAAAATGAGACGCACACGACGCCACGATTGTGGCACTAATCTACACTTCAAACATCAATCCTACCTTATTTGAAATAGATTTTCTTTGCATTTTTCGACCAACTCCAATCTACCATTGTTTATTTTCAAAAAAGCGAAATAAGTAACGACAAACGTTTAAAACAAAACGCGTGATAATATGGTGATATTACAGCACTCTCGATCGAATACTTTTATGGCAGGGGGGGGGGGAGGAATTTGTGCCTTTGGCCCATTGCTTTGGGCCTGCTCTTTTTCCTAGTTCTTCTGGTTCTTCTTTTGATAGCACGGGTCACGGTTAAGTCGGGCCAACGGTTGCAGGGCTACTGCCTATGGAGATTGGCTTTGCAGTTTGCAACATTGAACAAAATAGATGGAAGGCTACCCATTGAGTTCTATCCATGGAGATAATAAATAAGACTAGAGGTGTTATTAATGACGTTTTTAAGGGAACGCGTAAAATTGGGGGGCAAATTTAGGTCCCGAATTAAAACACGAAGTAAACAAATGATGCCGTCTGCTTCGAGTTTTCGATTCTTTTTTAATATATTTGGTAAGTTTTTTGCTCTTTTGTACGAGCATCAAGAAAATTTATCATTTTAAAGCGTTAGTAATTGTTTATAGTGATTGATTTTTAGATAAATCACCTTTGTGATTTATTAGCCTATTTTTATCAAAAGCTTGGGAGTTTTATTCATTTCTTTTTTTCTACTTTTTAAATCATCAAACAGTAGTTAGAGCTATCTGCTTCTTAAAAAATTTTGGCTGACAAGATTTTATGTACAGTAAAAATGAACATTTTTGCATAGAATATACATGATGAAATATCAATAAAACCTGTCATTAACTGTAATTTATCTTCTCTGCTTGTTCAGAAACCATATGTAATAGATAATGTACATATATCAGGGAACTGCTGTTTAAATCTTTTATGTATATTAATACTAAACTGTACCTCATAAAGTTGAGACATGAAAAACTAGCCATCAACAAAAACTGTTGTAAAGCTCGTGTATTTTTATATGTATTATCATTGGTAGACTTAGCACAACATCTATGCTGTAGCACCTCTTTGTTTTAAAATAATATAGCTTATTTTCCATAGAGCAACGAGTTTACATGATGCATACACTGGATGCATATGATAAACAATCTAGCAAAACGCAAGGGGGGGACCCGCAATTTAATTATTTGATTAATCCAAGGCTATAGGATTCATCATTCATTGCCCGAATAACATTATTCCTATTTTTTTCAATGAATGAATTGTACGTGTTTGTAAGACAATGTTAGCGAGTTATCTGCACTAATCTTAAAGAAATGGCTCAATCTCAACTGTGAGTCTTGCTTATGAGTTGCAAGGAGCTGCCGGAGCCAAAATTTGCAATAAAAAGTGCAATTGCTCTTGTTTGAGAAATGTTTGCTATGATAAGTTGTTGGCTCAGTTTTTCGTCGGCAAAACTTGGACTGTTTACAGCACTGGCGAATGAAGTACACCATCCATAAAGCTCTATACCTAAAAGCTTTTGCCATGAAAGATATAAATGTGATTAAAATTTCGAGGTAAAACCTTGTTGATCAACAATATGTCACCCATAATTATCTTTGAGAAGCTAAGCCTCCATATTTAACTGTTTTGAAAAGTTAACTTAGCATAGTTAATTTTAACTACGTTTTAACTGCAGATAGCGCTAACTACTTTTTTATACAACTGACTTAACTGCGTGGTTAAACTTAACTACTTTTTAACTGCAAAAAGTGTAATTAAAAAGTAGTTAAGAGCTTTATACAACCGGCCCCTAAGATCCGAAAAAACACAAATTATTTATGAAGAAACACGAGAAACACGAGTTATGACTAATGATGACGACAAAGAATTTTTTGTCTTCAATTTTTGGCTTCAGTTATCATTCCCAGTTATCTAAATATTGAGTTACTGACATAAAGCGCTTACATGATAGAGGGCATGGGAACGAATTTTGTTCAGAATGTTACAGGGCTAGAACGGTTTAGCCCTGTAAGAGTAGAGAGACCCAAGTGTGCTGAGACTATTATGTGGAGATGGCGGACCGTTAGGCCCAAATAGGATGCAGAACAGCAGCAACACTATAAGCAACACAAGATCTTAGAGCTTTGGGCTTAGAGCTCTTATAACTACCTAAATAATCAACATCCAAACATTAAGTTCACCTACGAAATCGAATCTCCAGACTTCCTTTCCTCGACATCAGCATCATCCGTAAAAATGGTACCTTTAAACTTCCATCTATCGTAAACCAACGTTCACTGGCTTGTTCACCAACTTCCACAGCTTTATCCCTCCCCAATATAAATGCAGCTTAATATTCTCTCTCGCGCATCGCTTCTACAAAAACTTCTTTAACCATGAAAACTTCCATAACCAGTTAGAATAGCTGCGACAGGTTCTTAACAACAACAGCTACCCAACCCGTCTGTTTGCGCGCTGTATACGAACATTTTTAGACAAATTATGCCAACCCCAACCTATTGTTGACACAATTGCAAATAAAGTCTTCTACTTCTCTCTACCATATACTGCCAAACTTTCATTTAAGATTTATACCTAAATTTCCCGTCTTATTTCTTCAGCATACCCTCATCTTTATACAAGCATATCAATACCAACATCCGTTTCGTATTTCGTACCACTGTACGTTTGTCTCATTTCTTCACCTTCAAGGACAAAATCTCCAAAGCCGTAGGATCTTGTGTGGTTTATTCTTTTAAGTGTCGCTGCTCTTCTATATCATATTTGGGCCCAACGGTCCGCCATCTCCACACAAGAGTCTCACAACACTTGGGTATCTCTGCCCTTACAGGGTGAAAAAGTTCTAGCCCTGTAACATCCAGTATTTCCCCCCCATCTCAAATATACTGGCCACACTGCATCTCTAGAAGATTTCAAAAAATTTCTTCGTGTTCTCTCTTGAACGAACTACTCGTTCGGGAAAATCTTCTAATTTCCAAACTCAAACCTTCCCTTAACATCCAAGGTACTTCCGTGCCAACCATTGTTTTGTGCCCACTGTTAAGTTGACAAACACAGCAATGGTGTCGCTAGGTGGAAACCTGTGGGGGCACGTGCCTCCCTAAAAATTTGTTGTGCAAAAATTTGTTGTTCGTTTTACAACATGAAGAACCAATAAATCTCTGCACAGGTTTGACTGGGAAGTTAAAAAGTTCAAACTCCTTATGTTGTAATTGATGCTGTCTGAATTTGTGTTTTTTCGTTTATTTTTTGTAACTGTCGGCTGGAAAAGTATGTTTTAAAAAGTTTACACTACAGATGCAATTTGTGGTACAATTTTGCTTTCTACTGATGCATGGAAAATTTAGATCTGCTCCCCCCTTCAAAACTGGTTTTTAGCTTGTATCCTTTACTCGCAAAATCCTGGCGAGAACACTGCTTTCGAAAGCTCGAAAGTGGCAATATTTTTGTTATCAAGTGAAAGAGGTGATGAGAACTAAACTAATGTTACTGAATTTGCACTTATTTCTTTACAGAAAAACTTTAAACTGCTCTGAATCTATTTCATTCAATTTATATGTCGGCTTCGATGGCCTTTGATTAAAATTACATTCATCATATATTGGCGGGGGATAAGACTACGCATGCTCATTTATCTCATTAAAAGCACCTTGTACATTTGAAAAATAAGTGAGAACGATTACACCCCGAATGATTTTATAACAAATAATAGCCGGTAGTTGTTAAAAATTATTGTACGAAAATTAATCACAAATTAAAGCTAATTAGAAAGATAAATCGGCTTTGCCTATCTTTAAACAGCATAGAATAATAATTTCATCGTTCTAACACGAAGTCTCTCAAAATGGATCTTAATCTTCCTTTTTTATAGCTTGTAGCTAACATGGCTATGAACCCATCGCCCGTCATCAAATATTATGTTTCTTTTATTTGCCGAAATATAAACTTGTTACGTCCAGGTTAAGTATTTTTGTTACCTCACTTTACGTGTTTACAAAAAAGTGATTGTCATTTGTCTTTCTTTGCTTTTTGATGAAGCGTTGCATGCCCCAATATAATGGTCATATTGGCCTTCAAACAGACAACATAGGAACTTCTTTCACAATAAATATCAAAATAACTAGTCGACAACATAAGAGTTCTTTGTCTTTTTCTTTTCCTTATTTTGGATGACTATTTTTCATTTTTCAGTATATATTTGCTATTCACTGCCTTTTTCTTGCTTTTTCTCTCCATCCCAACAATTTCCTGTTATTCTACCGGACTCCTTTCAATCATTCCGCTATTATATACCCACAATTGAAAACAAGTAAAGTTGGGGTATCAAATAAAGGTACACAGGTACAGGTAAAGGTCTGTTATCCCTTAAGAGTAAAGGAGCGTTTTAAATACTCGGTTTATCCCGACTTTCGTCTTTCGCTTGACACTTCAATTATCAAAAAAATATTTCCTCATTTTCTCTGAGCATATGAGCCACTTTCTTTCTTCGACTTCCTCCAAAGGAAACAAAAAATTATGCATTGCTATGAAGAAGTATAAATACAACTATGCAAGACAGAAAAAGAAAATATTATTCTCCCTTTATTTATGAATTCAAACACCACTTCCTGAACAGATATGTCAAGCATTCACAAATTCGCCCAGCGAGTTTAAGATCAATGTCTCAATCCGTCATTTTTTATAAGTAAATAAGCGAGTTGTTTGTGATGCACCCTCGCTAGCATTTTATTTTCTGTATTTCCTTTGCCCGCAATTTCTAATTATTCTTCGCTTCTATATATCTATATACTGCTCAATCAGCTTCCGCAGTTAAGAAGTTCACTTCAACATCGTGACCATATATGGAATAGGGCAATCTATACAGGTTGACCGGCTGAGAAATGAGAAGTGATGACGACGGTAGTGTTTATTTGGTCTTTTGATCAGCAATTCAGTTTACTTTGCACGGAAATGTTTAACTAATGGTGCTTGAAAGCGAGATGGATAGAACAATATTAAACAAATGATAGCTAAAGACTCGATCTTGATTATGTCAAAAATTGTGAAAGGTGTTGAATGAGAATTAATCAATCAGTTAACACTAAAGGACTTCTACAGCTGTCTTCTCTTAGTTGGACATTGCCTTATATTTGGTAACTTCAAATGATGACTATATTTCAAGGAGACATCGCCATTGTTCTCTTGTTATTAACAATATTTCAGGTATCAGAAGAAAAAGAGCCCCGAATTCTAAGTGTGAAGCGTCAAGATGACGGTGATCTTGTGACATTAGCGAACAAGACTGATTGCTCTTCCTTCGATGCCCATTGTTATCGTAAAAATTTTAGACAGACTGTTCCAAGGGCGTGCGAAAAATGTAAATGTTCTGAGGCACACGCCACTTATTTTTCAAATGTGAGGCAATGTATGAATATAAAAGATATTCCTAATGAGGTATGCCCTACAAGGAATGCACAACTTTTCCCTCAAGTTTTTATGTTGAGTAAATTCGGTGAAGCGTTTAGCATGAAAGCCTATCATTGTAAAAAGCAAAGAAATTATAGATATCCTTCATTGTATTCCGTAAGCTCGGACAATGATACAAAATCAAGTTGGTTCGGAACAAAACTTAAAGGAATTCATTTCTCGTTGGTAAAAAAGTTTCAAAAAAATAATCGTCCCAAAGATTGGCGGGTAAAATTCAAGGACAGATCGAAAATATATACCACGTACGCTGGAAAAATAATACAATTGCAATTTAGATGCAAATTGAGGAGGAATAAAAGAAAATACAGCGATATATGCCTCATATTCAAAATAGCTAATACTGAAAGTTTTGAACTGAAAACTTCAACGACGCCCACAGAAACTTTATCAACACCTAATCAAAATATTACTCTTGCAAGGATTACTGAGTCGATTTTTACACCAACGAAACCAACAAGTGCTTCAGGTAACATAACAGCAAACAGCAACAAAAACATTGATCGCATGAATATCACTTCGATTTTCCTCATAATAATCATTGTGGCTTCGGCTGTTATAGTACTCTTTACAGCGGTAATTGTTTTTGTTTGTTACAAAAGGAGAAGAACAACTGCATCCAACAGGCCCAATAACAGAAATAGGAAAGAGAACGTTGAAAACGAATACGACATACCTATAATTTCTACATCAACCAATGTTAACGGTGGAGAAAATGGACGAGTGAGTCAAACCTCGCGTCAACCTGAATCTGTTATCGATGGGTCTTACGTAGAACCGATCAACTACAGTCCGCACAGTAGTGATGTGTATGATCAGCTGAACTTTGATGATATGAGAAAAGATTCAAATAATCATTATCAGGCTCTAATACTAAATTAATAAGTATATTGATTGAACCAGTTAAATTTTTAAGATCAATAATTAAAGTAGGGTGTTAAAATAGACAAAAAATGCACAATGAATGGTTTAAAGATTATTTAGGGCACAAGAATGCTTCAGTGGGTTATAAAATATTTTGTTGTTTTTAGCACATGAATAATTGTTCAATGCAATACAGTAAAAATTTCATTGGCAGTCTCATTTTTATGTTGAATTTCGCCAATCATTTCTGGCTGGACATTTTGGTGATTTGAGTGAGGTGGGAAAAGGGCCAAGGGTATAAAGTACATCAACGTCAGTCCGTAAAATGAAAGAGAACAAAAGATGTTGATTCGAGTAATTGTGGAAATTTCTATCAAATATCAACAAAGTAAAAGTCGATCTCGTGTACATCAGTGTACATGAACAGAAAACATTTCCAGAACACACACAATTTTTTGAAATAAGTTCCCCAGGATGGGTTAACGTTGTTGTTAACGTATGCATATGAATATCATAGATTCGTATGGTCACATGACCATGTAACTGCTTTCTGTGTTGAGTTTTTAATCTACAGTTAAAATAATTATGTCCAAAAAGCAAAACTAAATTTTTACTTTCCGTGCATGAACTATTCATTTTATATAAGACTATAATGACAAATTGTATAATGATCACATCATTGGTCATTTTTATGTAACCGTTTACTTTAAAATGACTGTGTTCTTGTTTTATTTAAGTATTTTACACAAGCAGCAGTATTTCTCAACCCTCGTGATCTGCTGGAGGCAAAACATCAATGTATTGTACGTCATGTAATGGTCGCTCTAGAGACTGATGATGTACATCACATTCCCCCTTGTCATTGACATTTAAATTTTGATAAATATTACTAGAAGGAGGTGGATTTTCAATGCGCATATCTTCAATTGTTGCATAAATATGACCCTCGATCTGATTCACTTTTCCCATTTCAATGCTGGAAGTGGTGAATTTTGGTGTATCATCATTAGCAATAGCCTGCAAAGCCTTCTCTTTGGCAGTTCTTGCCCGCTTTTTATACTTTGAACAAGCAGCAAAAGTTATGAGTGTTATGATCAATGCCACAATTACCAGTCTTATTATGATCCAAAATACTTGTTTCTTCATTGCATCTCGTGATGAGCTCTTATTATAGTTAGACGTATTATTTCCCACGGGAAGTACATTGTGACTTGTTATTTGACTGCCTGTTGCTGCCAACTTATATTGGGTCAACGAGGAAGTTGTATTGGGTAAACGGGTTGGTTGTTCAGAAATTATCATTGCACTAGAAACGACAACGTCGAGCATTCCACGAATTTTAAAAACCATGCAATAGTTGCTGCATTTTCCTCTAGGTTGTTTTTTACAACAAAAATTGATTTTTGCAATTCTTCCTGGGTAGCCAGTGGACATTTTCGAAACGCTATCATTAAAAAATGACACCACCCAACCGGACGATTTTCTTTGTAAAAAGAAACTTGCTTCATTAATGCGTCTCCAAATGTTTTTACGAATACTCAAAAACTCAGGATTTGCATCTTTGACTGTACAAGAATGTATCGCTGATGGCTGGCGTCTCCGACCAAAAATATTTATAAAATTTGAGGTGTTTTCTAACAACGGCGTACTCCAGCGTAAAGATCGACATCTTGATGCTATTATGCCGTTCGTGTTCTCGCATCGTCCCAGGCTGCTCACAAAATTACTTGATCTTCTAAAACATTTGCAGCAGCCGCAAAATTCTCGGCCGTTTTTAACCACAGTAACATTTCCTAAACATTTTGATTTCATCCAGCTACAATCGACTTTAATCGTTTCGTCAAAAGCTAAAACATCACCATCCTTTCTTCTTGTTACTTTGACACGCACACAGTTTACCTCACACCTAGATGAAAATAACAAAATGACGGTAGATAACCCTGTAAACACCACATGAAAGCGGTTGAATTCCATCATTGTGGATAAAGAACGTATTTACTGGCTTTCTCAATGTTTATATGCGACGATGAAATAGGTTTTGAACTATTGTTCATTGTTTATGTTTAGGAACGATATCAGTCATATCACTATTATGAAGTACAACAATTAAAACAATTTCCGGTTTCATAAATTGTACGCCAAACAGAAAAGCTATTGCAAGTTATACTCGAACGTTTCCTGAACGAACGTTTCCTGAACAACAGAGATGATTGCAAAGCAAATGGCTTTAAATAAAATTAAATATGAAGCTCTGCTTTCATGCAATTCTACGTTGTTATTATAGACATTCCTAAGATTCAAGTGAATGATCGTTTACCTTAATGATCTTTGACTTGCCGGCAAAGCAAATATCTAGCTACATCATGATAGGGTCTTCTGCAGATTCCAATGGAAATTTCTACATGATCTCAAATTCTAACTTAACATCGCCTATATTTCTGACCCAGAAGGATTGTATATTTTCTAGCTTAACAAAAAGTTTGCTATGTCAACATCTACCGAAAAAATAGTTGCAGCCTTTAATATGAATTTCAATTGAGCTCAATTTATACTTTGCGGTTGTCTCGACTCCTTTAGCTCATCCTTCGCATCCAATATTCTTCAGTAAATGCCATGGAATGCTTTTGTACCTCATTTGTCTGTAGCCTTTCTACTCCTTTTTCCTGCCGAGTTCCTAGTATCTTTTTCTTCTCTCGAAAAATTTCAGTGCAATTATACAACAATTTTTTTAGTATCTCTGTGATCATCTTGTAACAAATTATCTTTCCCATTGAAATGTACAAGCGTAAATGGACGGACAAATATTTCAAGACAACAATAAGTGAGTGATTAATTTAATAATCCACACACTTTCAATTATTTACTTTCAAATTCAAAATTAAAACATAGTATAAGTAAAATAGCCATACGTTGAGCTTAACACTCAGTTGACAACGTCAATACAATCAGATACATAAATATGTAGCAGTTAACTGTGCTCTTAGTTAAAAATTTGAAAATCAAGCTGTGAAAAAGTTTGAATTGGTAATAAAGTTTTTTTGATACAAATGTTATACTTTGTCAAGCAATTGACACAAAAAATGGTGCAGGTCTCGTGATTAGTCACCGAAAAAATAAACACATTGTTGGCTAATTAGGTGATTCAAAAATTATTTAGAGTTGAGCACATTTTTGTGCAGAGCATAATCGTGTTTTAAAAATAAAAAAAATCATCGACTCAAGGAGTAATTCGCTTTGGATCACGTGGAAACATCGAAGTCTTTCTTATATTGCCAAGGTTAAGATACAACATGACCACCCGCTCAAGACCTGAAAAATTACATCCATATTCAAATAAGAGTTAAGCTTAGATTAATTATACATCATGCCAAAAGCAATCTTTGAAAGAGTGACAAAAAATGCTGTCAAATTATCAGCAAGAAATTGCTTCGTCGAGCTTCATATCTACAGCACTGCAAATTGGGATTTCCACAGACAATAACAAAAAAGGTAAACATGCAATTCGCGTGGGACAAGAAAAGTTGCAAAACTTTGTCTTAAAATAGTTGAATAAACGTCGATCAAGTGTACGTACCGATTCCTCCCCCCGCATGTGGAGGACACCCATAACGGAATGAGTCAATATAAGACTTGATTTTATCCAATTCTATATAAAGGAAGAAAAAAAACAAATAACAGATGCTAGATAAAAAGATATTGCAACTATTCACAAGTATAGTCAAGGAAATATCATCTCAATCTTGAATAGACTCGGAGGAAAATTAAGTAAAAATAAGCAAGGAATTATTTCATTTTTAGAGAAGCAAGGAGAAAATAAATGTACATACGTAATACGTACAACTATGATGGACTCAACAAACTTACCAATACCATGATGCTTAGCTCTTTCCGTCAAAAATTCAGGATCGTGAATACGCTGAGCACCAGACAATATTTCCTCACCACGCATGAACATGTCATAAGAATTGCTGTACATCTATAGCAAATATTATACGTTAACACTCAACGAAAAGCTGTACAAATAACCGAGCACTTTGGTCAGTTTCCACTTTCGGTTGGAGCACTTTTTCTATGTTTGATCTTATTTTTTTTGTATAAAGTTTTCTCAAACCAAAGAAACCTAAACGTTAAACGATCTGATAATATAAAATATAGAAACCTAAGTAGAATAAAAAAAACGGCAGTGCAAACGAATGTAAACACAAAAATGGATTAATATTGTGAAAGGAAATCGATTATAAGCATGGAAACTGACACCAAATCGAGTTTTTTTTACTCGATAAAAATTAGAACAAAACGGACATATAATGTGCGTGGTTACCATGTGAACCAATGTGAACCAAACAGGGCCAAGTTGCACGAAGCCTGGATTAAGTTATCCAATGGATAGCACAAATTTTCAAATTTGTAAAAAAGGTGTTTGTATTTGTCTTACGACAAAGGAATTTCGTAATTTTCGACACAATGTTTCATTTCAGTGATTGCTCAGTTCAGTCCAAAATATATATTTTTTTCTTTTTAAAAGGTTTTATAAAAGTTTCAAAAAATTGCTATCCAGGCTTCGTGCAACAGGTCCAGACTTATAATGTGCGTGGTTACACAGCTTTAATTACAAACAAAATATAAATGTTTCTATAACTTAGAGCGCTCGTACGAACCTTATCGTGAGGACTGGGCATGGTATAAAACGGACGAACAGCCAGGGGATATTTATCCAGTATATAGAAGTCAGTGTCATATTTTTCACGGACAAGTCTTCCAAGAAGCTTTTCATTGGGAGTACTAAAAAGTCATTTTCATTACAGCTACTTTTGGAAAAACATATTCCGATAACTTTTTATTAGAGTACTAACAAAAATCATGATATCAAAGAATAATGTAGTCCAAAGAAAGTACTGTACTGGTAATTAGTAGCTACTAATGTAATAAAGTTTCCCACCTTAAATCATCCTCATCACCCATTTCAACACCAGCTTCCCGCAACATTTTCACACCTTCAGCAAATTCCAGGATCAACCTGCAGCATTTAAGGTCATACTAGATCCAATATTTCGACATAAAATATTTGTCCAAAAGAAACTTAGGAAAGGTTAATGTGTCAAAATATCACAAAAAAAATAATACTAACGGTGGCTCAAGAAATTTAAATGGTTCTGAAGGATATTGCTTTCGTACCATTTCAATCTCATCTTGGAAACTAAAAAGGACCAATTGACAGTTTTCCAAGAGAAATTATAAACAAATTCAACCTAAAGTACCGTGCGATGGATAAAGGAAATGAAGAGCAATATAACTTTCAAACACCCATACTTACTGATCGCGAAGTCCTTTGAAAATAGCGGTAAATGTGTCCCCAATTACATTGACTGCCTGTCATAGAGAATAAAAAACTTACTTTAGAAAAATTATTTATAAACAGAAAGTAACTTGTGATTCGAGTGCAAGGACGTTGAACATTCGTTTTGAAAAAAACATACAACTTCGAACACACTTAAGAAAACGTATTTGGGTACATAATACGTTCATCATTTTGTAAAAACAACGAAATCCAGTCGTTCACGTAACAAAAATTTAACGATTCAACATGATGATGTAAAAACATAAAACAACATTAAATGATGTGAAAAACATATATAACATGAGAAAAATGTACGTACGTACAATATATAACTGGACAAGCATACTACGTATCTACATAGCAAAGAAAACAGGCGCAAAAGAAATGTTACCTCATGATAATGTTCATAGAACGCCATTTCAATATCCATGCCCACAAACTCGGTTAAATGTCGGTGCGTATTGCTGTCTTCTGCCCTAAAAACTAGTTCCGAAAAGAGAAATGGTAGATCCTAGATCAGTCTGAAAGCTTAATTTATATGCTAACAATTTGTTTGATGTATAAGATTAAGCTTCATGGTAATACAATGGTATTCATTTACAGAGAATTCCTAAAATCGCTCTTGAAAATGTAACGAACTAAGAACTTGAGTAATGTTACTATTTGATAACCGGACCGTTTTTTGTCATCTATCAATTCGTGGACCGACTTTTTATTCATATTTCCTTATAGTTGCTAAAGCGGGGCAGGAAGGGGGAGGGCGGCGGTTCACACATCCACCTTCCCTAACGTGCACCCCCACATAAGGAGGTATGTGAAAAAAACATACAAACTGAAAACAATCATAGGTAGGTACTTACCACCGCCAATGGTAAACACGCGAGGAAAGTCACCACAGATGGCCATTTGCTTGTACAACTGAGGGGACTGGGCAAGATAAGCACTTCCTGAAATATGTGAGAAAGATGTGAGGGGACTGGGCAAGATAAAAACATCCTGAAAAATATTATATAGATGTGAGGGGACTGGGCAAGATGAGCAATTCCACAAAAATGGCATAGATGAATAAGCAGCTTTAACTCTTGGGTTTCTCCAAGGTTTCGGTACTTATAGGTTTCTATTGGTTTTCAGAACTCTTGGGAACTCTATATTTTTTAGCTATTCGCCATGGCAATTGTAGTTTTCTAAGCAATATTTGATTTGTCATCACGACAAAGCCTCTGTTTTATTAATTTTATTAAACTATCAGCTCCTCAACAGCCCAATTGCAATGTATTTCACGATAAAGAAAAGCCTCCCAATTATCATGAAAGTAATTTTCGGTTCTTTTACATAACGACTATCGTAGCTAACGATTGTATAGCTGCAATTCCTTAATTTTTATTTTACATTTTATTCGGCATTATTTTTCGAGAATTTTACTCAATGATACTGTGTAAACATCATGTCTATTTTCCTACAAATGCTGTTTGACATTTTATCTAAAACGTTAATGGAGTTCCAATATCAACATTCGCCAACTTTCGCAAAGTTTAAAGGAACATATATTGTTGTGACGTTGCTTCGTTGTTTTTAACTGACAAAAGCGGGATATTGCAGACAAACTTGTCAAAAGTCAGATTTCAATAGCGTTTAAATGACGGCAAAAGTTAGACATCTAAATCAAAATTATTTTGTAAATCAATCAACAAAGGGGAGAAACGTACGCCATTTTACAAATGATATGATGTAGATGTCTGAATGAAACAAAGGAATATTATAGCTAGACTAAATAAAATATCTATAATAGAATTCTCTATAGGCAAACGATTGAAATCCAAAAGCATACGTAAGCTCAGAAAACCCAAATTTTCAGATATATCAAAAACGTCTGACACCTAACTACTAAAAATTACTGTACTTTGACTTGCTCTATAAATAACAATACTGCAAACTTGCAAAACGATAAGCGTAGTAATGAAAACTGATATAATATTTCGTAGGGAGAGAGGGGTGGTGGTCAAATTTGCGTCATATTTTAAACCTTCAACTTCAAACGAAGAACGAGCATTGCATTATTGGAAATTTCGAAATGTATAAAAAACCAAAGTTTTTGGTGAATGTAATACTCGACTTACCTTTGAAATAGCTGACCTCAAAAACATTTGCTCCTCCTTCGCTTGCAGCTGGAAAATCACGAAGAAACAATAAATAAAATTGACAGTTCAGAAAGTTTTGTATTTAACGGACTTTAGCACTCTTTTATTTGTTGTCTTCATCATTTTACGTATCATTGATTTTGGAACACTCGATGATATAGAAAAAGATTTTTCGATAACCTCGAAAAATTACAACTTTCCCCTTTAACCATGGAATGCAGACGGCGAAAGTTTAAAATCAACAAACTAGTTACCTGATATAATCTTTGGGGTATGGATTTCGACAAAACCTTGTGATGTTAAATAATCTCGGAAAAAACGACATACGCCGGCTTCAATTCGAAACAAAGATTGATTCGTAGGAGTCTAAATAATGAGCATTTCAACTTTAGAATAACTTTGAAACGACCGCCATTAAAGAGAGATATGCGTATATCTTAAAAAATTCAATTTTCATACTTTAACATTGTTCAAAACTACGTTCGTATAAAGAAAATACTTACTCGTAAATCAATGTATCTATGATCCAGTTTTACATCTTGTCCAACAGTTGCAAGACCTGCTTCCTACAAAAATCCGCACAGCTTTCAAAAAATAAAAGGAACAAAAAAATGAAGAGACAGACAAAATGACATTTCAACGCACCTCTTCGACATCTGGTCTCGATGCATCCTCGATTTGAAGAGGTAATCTTGGAAGAGATTCGCTAACGCAAAAAATCTAGAATGAAAAACATTTTAAAGTAATTCTGTGAACGCTCTGATTTATAATATGTTAATGTATATTGGCTTTATTGTTTGAAAATGTCTTTTATGGATAAGTAAATTAGTTGTCCCTACATAGCTACAATATACGACTTAAGCTCGTGGTACAGTATAGTCATACAATATTGGTAAAAAGGAATCTAAATTACGTACGAGCAAATGTAGAAAGTTTCAAAAGTTTTATTAACCTACTTTGGTAACCGAAATTTCAACATCTGATTGAGAGCAGGATTGAATCTTCTGATCAACTTTTTTAACAATTCCCTCAATGTCAACAATAGATTCTTTGCTAATGCTGGAGAATTAATGAAAAATTTTTCTACACCAACACTGTTCATTAAAATCAAATTCCAAATTTACTGTTGTATTTGATAATGACGAACAACGCACAAGTAAATAAGCCTATCGATCTTTAAAGAACCAAAACCACGAGGACAATACCAATACAATCTTACACTGACTCACTTGGCTGTAAACTTCACCATCTGTTTGCTAATATTTTCACCGACGGCACAAATCGCTTGAACGGTAAATTGTCGTTCGCGAAGAACTACGAAGCATTGTTTACCTAAACATGAAATATTGTTTAGTTTGAAATAAAGTGAAGTCCCTTGTTGTAGCTACATAGATACACCAAGCAAATAAGAAAACAAATAAAGAAGCAGAGAATGAATTATGAGAAATGACATGCAAACAAGTCGTAGGTTTGCAGGGATGTAAAGCAATGTATTCTATAATTTGATTATCTGTACATGCATGGCGTCACTCTAATGTTCAACACAGTTTCAATTAAGTGCATTAAAGCAGTATTGATTTTTTCACCAACAAGTGAACGGTGTAGCTACAAACAACGCAAGACATCTGATCGACTTCGCCATAAAAAAAAAAGGGGAAGTTCAGCAAAAAACTCGCTGAGCTACTTTTTACAAAAACATCGAACTCGACATCGTGAGGAAAAAAAGTTTGGCAAGAGATTGCAAGAGTTACATGTAATATATTTTTGATACATAATATCTTTTGTTCTGTTCATACGTATCGGTAAATAAATATGTTTTAGTACCTATATTAACTAACTGCAGGAAATTGTTAACTGAAAAAGTTAAGTTTTTGAAAATGAACAAAGTGGGAATAGAATAGCTAATTACCAGTTCCCCTTGACGTGTGCAGGCGCCCACGAACCAATACAATTTCTCCAGCTTTTTCAGAAACTAGGTCTTTCACTTTGGTCCAAACTCGACCTAAGAAGTAAAAATACGAAACTCTGAAATCACAATTGAAACGAAAATGATAGCTGATCATTGATTTGTGGGAATATAAAACATATTAGAGTGTAATGCAAGCAATCCCTTGCCTATGGAATAAAGATAAAAAGATTTAGGAAGTAAATTATATAGAACAAAGTAGATTAGAGCTAAACTAAACTCCCTAAAACATTTAAAAACTTTACACAACACTCACATAATAGTGGAAACTCTACTCTTATAGCGAGAACACCTTGCATGAAAAGCAGTAACAACGCTGTAAAAATACGAATCAAGAAAAATACGTATACTACATACTTGTCTTATCTTGAGATTGATTCAATGGCAAGTTCCCATAGTTACCATTTGAGACATCCTAAACATTAAAACCCCTTTTCTTTAGCAACACATTTTCACCATGCATGTGACATCATTACGGCTAAATATACTAGGCAATCACAGAGAACATCAATGCTGAAATTCACACTGTTATTATTTTCATGAAATGTCGTAATCTTCCATGATATGCCTAGTCATCGCTAGTGTCTGTCGTATTATAATTTAAGAATTGAAAAAGAATTGACAACTGAAACGATAAATCCAACTGCAGAGATTGTAAACTGCACCTGTGTAGTACATACACCCTGTCAACATATGTTTAAGCCTGTAAATTTATACAATTCATATCAAATGAGTGGAATATTCATTCTTTCCTTGGAAGATTTGCGTTCAATATGTATGAAATTCACAAAAAAACTTTAATAAGAATTTGTTAGTAAAGTATTTATCTTATAAAAGTATCTTCTTTGTACTTTATCAAATAAGTTACAATCATGGAAACAAAATAACACCACAGACATATACCTCTTCTTCGTTTGCCTCTGCTTGTTCAGCCTTAACACAAAAATAATATTTCAAATCCACCATAATCAATAAAGACTACAAAATAATCAGCTAATTATACAAAAAGGCCATGTTTTTAAAACGATTTAATACTTATACATTTATCAAAAAAATTTTCAAAAGGGGAAAAAACACAGCTCCTTTCTTAATTTTGGTTATTATGCTAACACAAAGTATCAAGCCAAAATTTACGAACGATTGATTTTGCAACACATAGCTTCAATTACTTCCGTACAAACATACACAAATAGAGCAAACAGACACACATTTCTCCAAGTTATTTATAACACATACTGTTGACTATATTCCCCTAAAAACAGTTGTCCAATTGTTCTACATAATTTCTACAAAAAATTAACATACGGATAAAGTTGGCTACACAACTATGTAAAAACTAATATACTTAACAGAGGCTATCAGTACACTTGCAGTCTTTAATGCTTAGCTGTAAACTTAATTACCAAACTGTCTGGCAAACATTGTCTGACAGCCTTGTCTCTTCAACAGTCAGGGGGGAGGATTAGGTAGGTAGGCCACCACTTCCCCTCCTGACCCATGTGCCATGGCACACAACTATACAAACTAACACTTACTAATTGTGCTTTTTTCTCTGCTTTCTTGCGAGCTTTTTCTTTTTCTTTCTCCAATTTCTTCAGAGCATTTTTTGATAGGGGCTGACCATCTGGACTGTAATATAAAATGCCATGACAATGTGTGAAAAATGCAAAGCTAAGTATCCAACAATGGCAGTTACAGTAATTGTCTTTTCACTGAAGGAAAATGTTATGCAAGGGATGTAATTCAATCAAACTTTTTAATGGATTTTGACGTTTAAAAGTGGTTATAAGCAATATTTCTAGTACAAACAGTTTCCTTCACACAGGGTGAAGGATTTGAACTAAATTGTAAAATACTACCAATATGAACATTGGGACTAAATGATTTCTTGGTATGCTACCACTCTGCAATCCAAGATGATGAATTTTCATTTTATGTTTTAACAAATATTTTGCCCAGAATGTAAATATTTTTTCATTGATCATTGGCTGGCATATGTACATATATAAAACATTATATAAGTTTGAAAATTTGTAATCCAGGCATTGAATACATAAAAGATAAAAGTTTCTCCGGATTTTAAATTTAAATTATAAGATTATATAAAAGATTATATGTATACTTCTAATGTACATAAAGATGTCAAAAGCAATTTAAGATAAATTTTAGTGGCTTGACTAAAATGAACAGGCTATGTTCTTCACAATGATATATTCCACAGATGGGTAGGGATATGTGGAATAAGCTAACTGACAAAAATGAAGCCAGGGACTAAAATTAAATTTTATCACAAATTATAACTTGGCTTTTTGCATTTTAAGAGCCATGTGGCCTACCAGTTTTTTATCTGGAAATTGAAAACTTGTCTAGATGAAAGCTTTAAGTTGATTAACCAGGAAGTTTTTAGGTAAGTTATAACAATAATTTAAAATCAGAGTAACCTTTGTTAAATAAGGCTGGTATTGATTAGGAAACGGTAACTTGAACATAGATCCCAAGACAAAACCTGCAGTATATTATTACCCAAACAACTAAATTTTTCATAACTGTACCATTACTAATTCATCAACTCAAGGTATTCAATTGATCAATGCAATATTTAAAAAGCACTTATATATAGCAATTACTTTTACAACAAATGATAGCCTAATAAACTAAGGGCGCACTAACTTGTACAAGTCTACAAATGCAATCAAATTTGTAGTTTTTGTCCAGAGAGAATTGAATGCTCAATAATGAAGTTTTTAAGATTTTCCCGGAATTGCTTTTCAATAAAAATCATCAAAGAAATATGACTAAGACGATTTTCGACTTGCCAACGAAACACTTACTCTTTCAAGAATTAAATGCTTGATTTCATTATTTTCATTTACTGAAATTATTTTTGATGAAGAAATGCTGTTGGCTGTTTGTCTCCAAGAAGTGTTTGATGTTTAAGATTCCATATTAATAACACGATTAATTGTTCAACAGTCACATTAAGTTAGCAATTTTTACTTTTGTCAGTCTTGAATGTGGATGAAAGACCTAATATTACGCACTTTCGTAATTATTTGATGTAAAAAGCTGCTGAAGTCAACTTACCCAGTTGGGGTATTCTGTTGAGAAGACATAGTCACAAATGGTGATCGCTGTACAAAGTTTTTAGTTAATTCTTTATGAAAACGCGATGACAGGGAAAAGTTCTTCGAAGCACTTTTCAGTTGTACGAAGGGTAGTTTTTGTATAAAGTACGAAAACTTTAGCATTCAATAACTACGCAACTTTAATAATTTGAAATAAATATCAGGCAGTGCTCCTGCTGACTGACTAAATTCTATATCAATCTTTTCAATCGCTCTTGCATATCATCAACAGCGTGCTTATTTCTTTGGAATTAAGGAAATCTAAGGAATGTTTGAAATAACTGGGAATTGGGAAGGGCAAGGAATCTTATAAAAACAGGTACGTCGATTGCAAAAGCACATAGCTTTTAAATTTATTACAAAGCCTTGTAAAATTTTTGTCGTGGACCTCATAGTTCAGTTTTGTATTTTGCATAATCAGATCATAGTCTCTTTTTTATCACTATGGCAAACTTTTTCATTATATTTATTTTAGGAGTTGTTGTTCTCATGTAAATTATGTTTTTTGCCTGTTGCTAGCTAGCACTAAACAAAGCCTCGAAAAGCTAATAAAAAATGTCGTCATTTAAATTCATAAACGAATATATTTAGAATGGTAATATGATTATATATGAATATGACATTATGATTGTATTAAGAATCATATGTTGGGCAGTCACATACATACATAATTAAAATCCAGTATCGCGATAATAGCCTGGTAAATCTCTTGGCCACAATTTTTAATAACCTGAGTGAGACAAGTCAGAAACCTGCAAGTTATGGTACAACCACTATCATCGATTTATTTTGGAGACTAATTGGTGTTTTCTATATTAACAAAGTTTTTTAAAATGTGCTTGGAAAATCTGAATTCTAAAAAAATTATTTTTATCAAGAGTCTTGTGAGGCTGTGCTTAATTTTTGCATGTTAATTGCATGTTTATGAACCAGAAATTGTGTATTCATTTTTTTCTTATGGAAATTTAACAAAGCATGAGCTCGGGTATTTTACCAACATTGAAAGATAAATTTTCTTTGTTGCCATTCATAATAGGTAACTGATATTGACCACAAAACTTCAATTAACCATAAATAAAGTCGTTAATTACTCTATTCCAAAAAGACTTCCCAAGTTAAAAAAGATCAACAATACTCACTAGTGAATATGTTGTAAAATTATGTCGAGTACTTTATTTTGCATTAAAAAAACCGTAAATTGAAATATTTTTTTCATAAGAAAATGTTGATGACACCTCTTAGAATTTTATCTTTTTAGCTAAGTACATTCTTTAACACTTGTATTGTTGATACTTTGAGAGCAAGTTTTATCGTGAAAGAAAGAGTCCAGCTGCGAGATAATATGATAGTATTCTTTTGTGAATAACAGCTAAAAATTAATTCATGATAAGACTTTCATTGAGTAACTACACCTTGCCACATTGCATCACTATTTGTTAATGTTATTGTGTCGACATTGTGCTTTACATTCACTTGCTTTTGTGTGGAAGCTCACACGAAAACAAGTCCACAATGATTTTACATTGATGCACCGATCAAAGCAGTTTCAAACATCTTTTATCATAAATGTCTGGATGAAATATCGTACACACTTACACTTTTTACGAGTGTTAAAAATTATTTTGACATTTAGCTGAATACTGAATAATATAAAAGTTCAACACAGATAAATGGTTTTTACATGATGTCATCGATACGCATGGCAGCCATATGTTTGTTTAATATAAGTTGTTCGTCAAAATAAATTGCTATAAATCATTACTGAAATCTTGCATTTTATTTCAGTTACAAACTAAGCTTCCTTAAGGCAGGTTTTTCGCGCACAACAGAACGTTATGATGTTTATGCATATGACAATTTCAATTTCATACTAATTCAACAAGCAAATTTCAATTACATTCTTTAAAGAAGATCACTGCCTTGACACGCTGGCATTGATTCATGAATTACTCAAAAGACTAATCTAAAAATACTCTTAGTGATAAAATATACAAAGATAAATATACATAACAATGTATGTTCTTAATAGTTGGCTAAAGGAAGACCGGTTGATTGAATCAGAGCTGATTTTGCCTCTTTATGTGTTTCTATTAATGCAATTGGTCATTTTAAACAAAACCTTATCAGACTGATCAGAAAAGATTCAAGTAATTCATTATAGATTTCCAACTGCAGGTAAATCACTCATTCTTATTGTGATATTTTTGATCGTGCGATTTTTGGTGCTTCAATGTATATTTGGCAATCTTTAAAGTTAAGTCAGTCTACTATCCTCATATTAATTACGAAGGCTATTTCTCTAAGATGTACACTTTGAAAAAAAGGCCATCTAGTCCTAAAACTTGTATAACTACAGCAACTACAGAAACTATTTTTATTTTCTTCATTTTGAAGTTTTTCTTTATTGGTTTTGTGTTTTCCGTGCATTGGACGTGAAAGTTATTCCGCGCATCTTTTCTTGTATTGCGACGTTGGCAGAAGAGGCTGCCATCTTATTGCAATATAAACTTTTAATATTAAATCTTTTCAGGCATAAAAAAAGATGGAGACTTCAGGTGCAACCCTCAACCTTCAGTCTCGGACTTATACTGATCAGCTCTCAAGTTCTCCCAAAGGTCTTCACTGTTTGCATAAGCCTGTGCAAACACAACAAACATCTTATATTTCTTGAATGACCAAAAGTTTGCTTCTTAACTTCGGTTGATTCAAGTAATATTCTTACAAAATGTCAAGACATTTATAAGTTGTATACAAATTTGTAGTTGAAGGTGGTTTTATACTTCAAATAATCAGACTGCCTTGAAATGCAGTTTTTCTTATCATATTTATTTAAGGACTAATATTACAATCCATTTATCAATTCTAATAACTTTGCCTTTGGAATTCAAGCAAAAGATAGGAAATAATCTATCAACAAATATTATCGACGGCTACGTCATTACTTAAACATTATGAAAGAATATAGAATATGTAAACATGCAAACTCTCTGGCTTCTCGTTACTTTTCCTGCCCCTCTATTGAGATCCTAAATCTCCGGAAGCCAGTTGTTCACAAGGCAATTACTTTTTCCCAGGATTAGAACTAAACAAAAGGTTTTGACTTTGAACATTTAAGCTTTAAGAAGTTTTTTCATTACACTTGTATCGAAAGTAATACAGGCCAAATAAATGATGGCTATTCAAAATGCTGTACACATTGCTACCCCCAACCATCTGCTGCAGGCTTAGGAATGGACATTAAACTTTCATTTGACATGTAATTACATCAGTAAAATAAAATATGGTTTCAACAAAACAAGTCTCTCAAATATCTACTAACATAACACATGCCTTGTTTAGCTAAATTTCTTTTTCAAAACTTGAGGTGGTCACGCTAATGTTCCTAACAATAAATCAATTTAAAAATTATGTTGTAATAAACATTAGGAATCCCCAGTTTTTTTCAAAATCTCTCTGTTTTCTACATTTCTTTTTAAGTTTTATATTCCCTGGGTTTAACAGGCTTATATAGACAGCAAATACAATAAACTCAGGCCACAGCAATGCCGAGAGGCAAGACTTGATTGCAAATTTCTTCGGTTCTGCTTTATAGACATATATTTTATTCGATAGTTACTTAATTGAAAATTGTTTTATTAATTTGAGCTAAATTACTTTGATCGAAAAATTTTATCTAAAGCTGGCAAAATGACAGAAATTTATCTGCTTTGTATAATGACTTGTATTTTTTTTATGTGTTTTGTGTTTTGTTTTTTCTGTCCATATTTGTAAATTTTAGTTTAGTTGCTGAAGGAAGCCGACATGAAATGTAATTAAGGATCAATCAATCGTATCCTTATTGTTATCCTTGATCATCACATTGTTATTTAGATATTCTAAAGAAACTTCTCGAGTGGTGAATATGATAAAAAATTTAAATACGCGTTATATATTTTCATAGCAGCTGAAAAATGTACATTTAGAAGATAACGTCGCGTTTTTATTTTGATGCAAAAATCGCTGAAATTAAAATATTTTTTCACAAGGAATTGTAATTAAAATGTAACCAAAAGGATTACGCTGTATACCTCTTGTAAAATCGTATTCATCTGCACTTGTGTCGTTAATGCTTCGACAACATGTTTTGTCATGATAAAAGCTTATAGTCAATGGGAGTCAAGCTGCGTTATATGTTTATATAATATGATAATTTTACTTGATAAATTTTGTACATTGATAAATTTTACAAAAGAATTTTAGCTAAATATCACTTTTGCGTGTTAGAAAAATTGCAATGGAAAATTGATTTGAATCTTTAAGACTTAAGTAACGATGCACTTCATACAAATAAGGTTCTAGGCAAAATCACCCATTCCGCAACATAACATATCACACATTGATATATCATATATACATATATGTTTGTTAACGTTATTATGCCAAAATTTGAAATATAAAGACAAGAAATCAACATCCAAATTTAATTGCATTTTGATGAGCAATTTTTCTTATTCTTGAAGTCATTAGCCTAAAATTATAAACGGTACGTGGAGATTGATGTTGATACGTGTAAGTCAACATATAGTCACAGTAGGTAATTGCAAAGTTTTTGTTGATAGCAATTGAAGAATCTTTGAAACTAACATCAAAGATTTCCATATTTCGCTCAGATATACCATGCACACATAACTTTGAAGGCAATCATAAACGTTTATAAAATGGAACAAGATAGTCCTGTTGAAGTTTATACTCTGTGACCTGAGCTACTTCCACATAAACACTAGATAAAGCATCGTTTTTGTTGACGATGGTATTAAAATAATGCCATCTGCTAGTTTTACATTCCAACAAAGAAAATAAAAGTCAAACACCATAATTTATTGAAAATATAGTCGTTATGAAAATATAGTTGAGAACTTTTGATTTTTCCATAATCGGCGCTTCTGATTTTGTATTTAATGAAATAACCATTCTTAGGTTTGAGAATTATTTTATTATTTTAGATTAAGGAGAATAGTAAAAATGAACAAAGTTATTTTGATTAAAAATATTTACCTGAAAATCTCTTTTCTCTTTTTGTTGAATTGATCTTCTTGCAGAGAAAATTTGATGGATATGAAGCATTGATCACATATCTTTTTCTCACTTACAAAATTTTATTTTGTTTGTCATCTGCTATATTGAAATTCTGTTACTGAAGAAAAATGGGATTTTTTGGACAATATAAGGATAGTTTAAAAATGTCATATAAACTTCTCACGAAACGCAATCAAAACATCATAGTACACATACATATAAAGTCATTTACATTTTCGATATAAAAATAAAAAAACACAAAGGCAAATATACATGACAATACTTGATCTCGTGATTCAGTTGCTTAAGGAAGAGCAAAGTTTGCTGCTTCATAAAATGGTGTAGCTATATGTTTAATTTGTCATTTTGATGAAGACTCTCTGACTGTTAACATCGACATGATTTATAGATTCAAAAAAACCTCCAACTACAGGTGAATCAATTATATTTATAGCCTACCGTAATAATTTGAAATGCTTCATTTTCATTCAGCAAATTTTTAAGTAAAGTTTGTTCGTTGTGTTGACGTATGAGTTATAATCTTTTGTTTTGAATGGATATGGTATATGAACATAGGAAAAAATTGGCCGATTACATTCGCATCACCTTTTCAGTGCTGAACAGGATATTGTTCAACTTTTAAATAGACAGGGAGCATTAGTGAGCAAAAGCAAACTTAAACAAATCTTGAACAATTTTATGGCAGTGCTTCATTAACTATTTTTTAGAAAAAATATAAATAAAATACTATGAGCAACTTCTATTTATCTTTGTTAGAAATATGAACTTCAATAAACGTAAACCGATGTTGGGTTTTGTTTACATCGTGACTTTTATTTGGGCTTTGAACATCAACATTCCATGTGCGGAAGGAAGGTAAGTTTTTGACTTAATTGGTTCTTCAAAAACATTTCTTGAATATTTTTTATCACCTACACTAATTTAACATAAACTATAATATTTGGACATTGTTCATTTCAATAGATATTTGCCTTCTATATTATATCATACTGACGCTAATATACATATTCCTGAAGCATTATACATAACCTGGCTTTATTAAACTTGAATAGTCAAACTGGTACAATTTAACATGAGCTTCCACTTTATATAGAAGAAACTCAAAAAATTTCATAGTTAAGTACTTAAAGCCTGTAATTTTATTTTAGTGCTTGGAATAGTAAATTGAAAAGTATTTTGGTTGATTTTGAAAAAAAACTGGATGCAGTGAAAGCACACTTAAGGACAAAGAGCTTTGACTTTGATGAAAGTAAGTCTGTCCTCATCAACAATAATCTCCATTAAACGCAATCTTGTTCTCAGGACGAATTGTTACAATGCTTTTGTTATAAAATCGTATTCTTAATGATAGGTTGCAATGGTGAATTAGGAATGAGAAATGGGTTAATTGGAGACTCTCAACTTACGGCATCCTCCACATGGGATTCCAATCATGGTCCAGGAAACGCCAGGTTATTTCGCCCAAGGAATGCACCAAATACAGGAGCCTGGTCTAGTCGAGCAAACAATCGTAACCAATGGCTTCAAGTTAATTTCTTAAAAACAACAAAGATAACCGGTATTAGTATTCAAGGAAGACCTGAAAGTACTCAGTGGGCTACATCGTTCTCCTTGTCCTACAGCATCCGTGGAAGCACATTTAAACGTTACAGAGTTAATGGTAACGTTAAAGTAAGTAAAAAATTGCACCTATATCTAATTCGCACCTATTTTGAAATGAGTTAGCATCTTTTTGCCAATTACTCAATAAAACCAAACGTAGAAAAGAAAAAAAAATTGACACGTTTATGCTCGTTTTCTTTTACAGGTGTTTCAGGCTAACTCTGACAAAGATTCTGTTGTTCACCATAAAATATCACCACCAATTGTTGCCAGTTTCATACGAATTGAGCCGGTATCTTGGCATAATCATATTTCTCTTCGTGCGGAATTTTATGGATGCTAAATTTTGCAATTTATCTTTTTCATTATTGCATGGCTTGATTAAAACGTTATGATATTTTAATTATCAATAAAAAATTCATTTCAATCATCAAATAATGTTGTGCCTTTTTTGACCCAAGTATGTGAAACCAATTTTAGCTAATATATAGTTTGTTTGGTAGAAAACCCAGCAACATTGCTTTTTTTGTTAGAAAATATTGCCACTTTTAAATTTGGTGCTCTATAATTCCCAACTATATCTGAAATTGCTAATTTGCTAAATTTTGTTCAGGCTTACCTGACATTATAGCTACATATTTAGAACTAAAAATTAATCAATTGTAGTATCTTGACTTTCCATTATGTATAAAATTGATTAATAAGTTATTCTTAAATAAATCAGCATAAATGAGTGATGAGAATTATTGGAATATTCAGCGAGTTCTCAGCCAAAAAGCCGTACTTAAACACATCGATGCAAAACACTTTCAAAACCTCTTTTTCAGAGAGTTTATTTATTATCCTCTCCTTTATTCCAAACAGGCTTTTAATGGCATCAACAATTGAAACTTTTTATTGTAAATTGGACTCTATACTTGCAGAATATAAAAGATCTGCATGTTTGTATGTAGACGTCAATTACGTCATAATTACAAAGATCAGGAATTATTTGCTGGTCGTTGACCAATTAAAACCAAAAATCGTTCATACTGAGAGAATACTAAAAATAATAATTTGCTGTATGTCGTCCACCAAACGATGACAAAAATTTGACGGAATTTTTGAAAACATTATACTGACATTTGCTCGCATCTCTCAAAAGTTATTAATTCTTGCTAGTGATTTCAATTTGCCGTATGATGTGAACTGGAATTCAAATGATACACTTGTGTAGAAACTCGTGAATTCAAAAAAATTAAAATTATCAGAATTTTGGACGATTATTTCTTAATGAAAGTCAATTGAGTTTGATGCAGTAAAAACCTTGACATGCCAAAAATATCTCCATTGAATGATCACCGCGATTTTTTAATTGATCAAGAAAAAAATTCATCAAAACTAAAAATAAAGAAATATCCAAATCGCTTAGGGAGTACCTAACCTATGTAGTTACTAAATTCTCATAAAAACTCTGCTGTAAAATCCAGAAGACACTGCGTGCTAGCAATCTTAAATACATAAATATGATTTGTAAGTCACTAGATCATAATTTATCCAAAGCGCCATTGATACATTTTCAAGATGGCATGAAAGATCAATATCACAGTAAAAACGTCGATCAAGAAAACGAAAATAAAAGTTAATATGCAGAAAACATCATGTACATAGAGAATATGTTAATGTATTTCTTTGGATAATGTAATGATATCAAGCTTAGACAAAAACAAAGCGATTTGCCTTTGTATACAGTATGCAGCTCATGTATTATTCATTGCGATTCTTTGCGCAGTTGAACATATCTATATTGATTTGCTACCATTTGAGATTATCTCGGCATCAGTATAGAGTCAGACAACAAATGCCAACAGTGGTGACATCCGACGCGAATTAAATGGTACAAAAAAGTTTTTGAAATTGGATCTCTCGGAAGTAAGTGGGGTAACTTTAAGAATTCAAAGTAGGTCAGTATGTATAAGTCCTGACAAATCAAATAGATAGAACAGGCGACCATGCAATTCTTTAAATTTATTTCTTTTGGAAATTTCAGGTATTTAAACATGTATTGCTTCAAACTGAACCATTTAAAATCATTTATGAGCATGTGTTGATCTTTCACTGACTGCACCCTTTGTAATTGTTGCGTCGTCACCTCTAAAATCTTTACTTTCTTATTAAATAATTCACTTTCGCCTAAGTTTTGGATTTATAAGCACTATTAAATATTTTAGTTTTAAATTATTTCTCACCAACATTGCACGTTTTCATAGTTTGTTACAGTACATTCACGAGTGTCTCAAACATTTCTCGGACGTAAAATATATAATTGAACTTATATTGTAAAAGGTATAACATTTTTGCAGTAAACAAAGAAATAATAAACAAATGTGGCCATTCAATTGTGCAAAGTGCTTACGAAAAATGTTGGAAATAATCTTCCTCTTTTCAGAACAATTTTGTCGAGTTTTGTTGGTAAACATTTGGTTGTGATGAATGTTTAAATGATGTATTGATGAAAAGCAGATAGAAGTTGGCATTTTTCTTGTCTTAGTTTTAAATTAATGAATTGGTTGAATCCAGCTGAAAATATCCACATAATGTGGTAAAAATTTACTGCGCATTTGTTTATTAACATCGCTAGATGTAGTATGACAGTTACCTTCTTCAAGAAAACTAAGCTCTAACAGAATTTAATTTATATTGACATGGCAACATTCACATGGTGGAAAACATTATCACATAAAGAGTTTTCTTGTCAAAGTGATTATGAAGTAAAATGGTAAAGTGATCAAAGTGATTATTTATTCAATTGAGTAACAAAGAGAAAATATACTTGCATTTTAAATCCATTGTCACCAATAGAACTAAAAGCAATAGATTGTGTGCCATTTATAGTATTTTTTTTTTTATCAAATTCTTTGATTTGTAAGCAGATAGAAAATTGTGGAATATATTCACGTGTTCAGTTTAGTGTCCGTCAAATTTCCTAATTCTCGTGTTTTTAAAGGACAAAAATTTGACAGGCCAGTTTGCAAGCATTGTTACAACTTGCTCTAACTGTTCCTGTCTCATTAATACATGATGAAAGAGCTTTTAGTTGTTTGAAACGCGTAAAAACATGCTTTCGCAGTACTATGACAGAAAAACGCCTTTTGAATTTCGCGAGTATTTCCATCAACCGAGAAATTATTTTGAAAATTTCGATTCGAGAACTTTAAATGCCTTTCTTGAACGACAAAACTAAAATAATTTTCAAATAACTGTTTGTTATTTCGCATTTGTTGCACCTGGTTTATTTATAATGGTAGCCCTTTTTAAACAAATAACCCGCCATTTCATGTACATTGTAAATAAAATAAACATGTTACAATTCTTAATTTCCTATGTTTGTACACAGTTTTGAAACCCCATATTTAATACATTTCTTAGGCCACGCTCAATTGCCACGTCCTGATGTCGGAAAATTTATCGAAGAAATTAAGAAATTTTTACCTACGCCACTGTTTATGTGCCATTTATGTAAGATTTTGTACATATCTACCGTATATGTAAGATGTGTATGTGTTTGCTGTATAGCTACATAAGATTTCTAGTTTTCAGAATTTTATACGGGAAGGAAATTTATATACAAAAATAGTTGCAAATTCAGATTATAAAAGCATTCTATAGCCTCCAGTACCTAAGCTGCATCGAAGAAAAATAAAGTGGAGTCGATGAAAGCACGTCTAAAAATAAGAGGGCACCAAATTTTGCTGGATTGCAGTTTTACAGGCAAGTCTTCGGAATTTTATTAATAATGTAAACTAGGCTTTAAAGACAGTATTTTAAAACAAAACAAAAAGAAAAACACAAAAGATAAACAAATGCTTATTTATGCAAATGATTTTATTGTTGCCTATGACTTTCAATGAAAGTTAATGTGTTTTTCGAATCTTAATAAAATCGTTTCCTCTATTACAAAACTCACCCACATTTCACTCGTTAGCCGAAGTGCCGTTTTTAAGTGCTTACCTATCAGGCTTAACAATCTCATAGTGCACCCACCCCCAAACTCTGCCACAGTCTAGAGAGTGTAGTTGACTATTTAAGACAACAAAATGATTTCAATGACTCTAGCGATGCTCTGTGAAAGAGTGTTGGTTACAAAGTAGGTCGATTTGATAATAAATCTATAGTTACGTTGTATTTATCTTACTCAGAATGAACAATTGTATCATATATACATGATTCAGCAAAGAATATTTCTATGGTTTTGCTGGGGATTTTTCTTCATTTTGTTTACTTGCTACTGTTTTGGAGACATTGCTAAAATAACCAATTTGAAAATGCCGTGGTCCTGCCTTCAAAGAGTGTTTTGAAAGGCATTTGGATTTCCTTGAAAAGTACTCTAAAGCAGTTGGCTGTTGTTTGTGTCTGTCTTTAAAACATTTTTTGACAATTATTCAATGATCAATGAGCAATATTATTGAATACGAAAATAGTCTCTCAAATAAGGAATATTGTTGTGTCGATGTCGGTTGAATACAAGTTTTGGTCTTTATAGAGCAAGGGAGCAAGAATGAACAAAAGAAGGATAAAACCTATTATCGAAGGACATTTTAACCTTATTTAGAATATAATATAGAATTGTAAAAGAGAATGTTAATGAATGACAATTGTTTAAAAATTTTAAAGCCAAATTTCTCAAATGATGAAGACTTACCCCTTATGGGGGAAACTATCTCATTCAAGATTCGAGCTAACTTAATGAAATTTTCCGCATTTCAATTTTGTAAACTTATGTAGCTACCTCAAAAATGTTATAAAAGATAAATATTTAATAAACTATTAGCATTTTTATTCATAAACACAGGCTTTCTTATAAAAAAATAATGATATTTTTATTTTTTTATCAATATTACTCGCCTGGACTGCTCATGGCCACATTTTTAGTTCTTATCACAAGTGACATCGTACCTGTGCATCAATTACTGAACAGACAACGGTTAAATGTAATCTATCTGTTCTTAGGGATATAATTAAAATACAATATAAACTTCTCGTGATGTGAAGACGAAAAAAATATAAATAACATATTTTTTTGGCTGCTGTGGGTAATTTTAGTTTGCAAGATTGTCTTTCAAGTTTGTTTCATTATTTTACTAAAACGTTCTAAAGATATATATAAAAAAGTTCATAGCAATCTCTTCTCAGTTGCTGAAAGTAGAGCAAGGTTTGCTGGGTGAACATCGACGTAATATCGATAGCAAAAGATCTCAAATTCCAGATGAGTCAATTATATTTATTGCTTACTGTAAAATTTTGAAATGTTTCATCTTCTTTTACCAAATTTGGTAAATAATCCTAGCTAAAGGCCGTAGTGTTAACACTATAAACTAGGTCTTTGTTTTTGAATGTTTGTTGGATTATTGGATATTGACATAGAATAAAATTGCCTGACTGAATTTGCACCTTTG